CATCGTGAAAAACCTTATAGTTTTTTTTTTTTCTTGGGAGTTTTCAGAAAATGTGCCTTTTCATGAATTATATATTTAACAGTGATGATTCGAAGGAAGTTTTAAGGGTAACCCAAACAATTACTGCCCTGCATAGTTTCTACTCAATGTTTGCTGCAACTTAAACAATTGTTTTTTTTGTTTGTTTGTTTGTTTGTTTGTTGTTTTAAAATTTTTTTATATACACTATTCGTTTTTCATTTTCCAAATTTCAAATCTTCTTGTAATAAGCCCCTCAGCATGGCACTGCTCAGAAGTACTATGATTGAAGCGTGCTTCTCAAGAGTCAAGCAGTGTAGACAAATTATTCTTTCCTCGTGATGGCATCGTGTAAAGCCATTTTTTCCTAGAGGGAATTTTAAGACCAACGCCTACTGATGACACAGCAGGGATGATGTTTAAAGGAAGTTAAACAATAAATGGGCTATTCAACATTTTTGTGATCTCAAAATCTCTTTTATTTGAGATTAGTTTAGATTCACAAGTCCCATCAGTCGTTTTCCAAATTACAAAACTTCTTAAGATCAGCCCCTCTGAGCATGGTACTGTTACAATAGGAACTAAAGTACATTTTACTTGCGAGATTGCCAAAGAAGGTGGGATCAGTGTACTAAATAAATACAAGTCACTTTGGATTGTAAGCTGTTTAGAAGTTTGAAAGTACCATACCTCAGTGCCATAAAATATTTTAACAAAGTTTAAATACAGCTGTGGAAGCCATTCACAACATCAATTCAAAAATAATGTACATATCAGCTGAAAGGTAGATGACAAACTTCAGTTTGATTAATTACGTATTGTTGAAAGTCAGGGTCACATAAATGCTTCTTTACTGGCGAACATTTTAACGCGGGGGTTTTGAAAGATTTGCCTATTTTCCACTTGTAAGCCGGCAAGTTGGATCACTCTGTGTTGCTTGAACTTGATTAGTATGTTGTGCACCAAAAATGACAAATTAAACAAATAAATAAACAAAATAACTGATCTGATGCATGATTCCAACTAAATGTTTCCTGCACTCTGCCACAGGATGAGTAAAATGGCTGGCATTTCCAGGTTACTATCGTTGAAGACATTGTAACTTTGCTTTTTTTTTTTAGCTTTGATGGAGTCATTAATTAGTTTTTCCAATTTCCTCTCATGAGGGGAATCGCCTGCAGCAACCGAAGTCCCTTGTTTGCGGATTTTGTACTAGCAATGATAGACCGGCACACGTTTATAAGTAGTTACCAAAGTCATCTAATTGATGTTAGGTTACTAAATCTTCCTCATTATGTGTTCGTAATGCTCTCTTAACTTGCTGCAAACGTTTTCACCCACAGTTTTGGCACATGTACTCCTCGCCTTCTTTTATTGAAAGTTCAGTAGAGTTTTTGCCCTTTCAACTAAAGAAGATTCTAATAATATGGAAGGAAAATTTTTGGATAAGAACACCGGCAAAGAATTAATTGCATAATGTGCAGATGAATCATTTCGGTGATAACAAAGGACAGAAAAAGTTAACTGCGACATACTCATAACCACATCAAACTTTGGTGTTTTCCTCTTTCCTTCCTTTCTTCCTTTCTTCTTCCTTTATTTACGTTTTGTTCGTTTTATAAAGGTTCAAAGTTCAAATTTATTTCACACTATTCAAGTTGATACAGTATAAAATGGCTTACAGAATCAGTAGGTTAACAAGTGATGAAAAATAAGTATAATATATAAGTTTGTTGATATGTGCACAGTGACCAAAGTAGCCGAAGCGATTAAAGTGACCAAAGTAGCCGAAACGATTAAATGACTCACTCGCAAACGGCCTTACTTTTTCAGTTCAAATCTCTCTGTGGTTATTACACCGGCTTTCCACTATCAAGCCATTTAAGTAAGGTTGCAGTGAAGGATGACCGTAATACAATAATCTTGTCATCGATTGTCTTTTTGTGCTTTAGCGTTTTATCCATACATATATAAAGGACCCGGATAAGGTGACAATGAGGCCTGATAAAAAATTGTGCTTGCAAGAAAAAAAAATACACCTGCTATAAGCAGTTTCGGATTTCTCTCATGAAAGTACATATAGTCTTACCTTGAATTAAATATCCTCCACAAGCGAATCAACGAAATCACCAGATTTTATTTGCAGCTCCAGCTCAGCTCACTTTTCCACGACTATTCCAACGTTCAGAAAACCTTCTGGCTGCAAAGTGCGTTCAGGACACTAAAGAAGGTGTCGGAAACTGAGCGGAAATTACGTACCGGAAGGAAGATCATTCCATCAGTCGAGCGAATAAAAACAGTTTGGGCAACGGTGAACCGGAAATGACTATAATTTTCAAATTGTATACGCATTAACTCTTCATCTTTAAAACAATTACCACTGATTGTACCACATTGATTGCGCTGTTCTGTGCCTCAAGGAAGTGACTCAACTTTCAAGATTAAAAATAGACTACTTTTAATAATCCCCAGCATCTCACCCCAAAGGGATTTTTTTAAGCTCAAATTGGTCTTCCCATTTGAATATAATGATCCATATAATGTTCCATAAAGAATCTGGGATTTCAACTTGTGACAAAACGACTAATTTTACCATCTTGTAAATCAAAGAAAACCATCCGTCCTTGTTGTGTAATAAAACTTAAAAGTTCGTTGATGACGCACAGAATTCAGTTTCTCCAGGCAGCCCATAGCTTCGGTTGCAATTGCCCTTAAAATTCAAGATTGAAGCTTCAAGATTCCCTGAAAACATCGATCACAGCAAACGGAAAAGGTCAATCAATTGAAACTAACCGTTTGTGGTCAAAACACGAGGAGCTTTGACTAAGAATTTTGCATGAGGCATACCGCATTGAAAAAAAATAACAATGAAAGTTACGTTTGACCAAACAACTGCATGGGTCCATTGCTTTGGTTTTTATTTAATATATCATACTTAACAGTCGAAGGAATGACTTTGCTATAATACTTTAAAAAGTCGCTTACAGATAAAGTTCCTGTTTATACCCAGTCTTGTTTTCCCTAATAAGGATACAGTCACGAGAAGTGTTATAACACAAAGCTTATGCATATATTTGTAAAGCTTAAGTGAAGCGTGAAGATACTTGTATCAGGGAATCAGTAATGCATGTTCGAAAAAAGTAAAATTAGTCTAAAAAAAATGATAATTTCTTAGGTATACATTAAATGCAATGACGAAAAATGTCTTAAAAAGTCTGTACAGGTGTGGCTAGAGCGTGGTAGCCAATTCAGATTTTGCAGGGGTAATTATTGAACACAGTTTGTACTCCCTCACTGATAACGTCAACAACAATCACACGCTTAATGAACACTTACGAACGCACATTTATCTATATAAGCGAAACGTAAAGAGACTGAATATTCAGGAAAAATCGATAAAACAGCACATAGAACTAGCGTGTGATACATGTTGCTTCTTGAAAGCACAACGAATAAGGGAAAAAAACAGACATACATTTGTCAAACAAACGAAGAAATAACGGATCAAACAAATTTAATATGGCAGCTAGCCTCCCTTCGGTTTTCCCTTCCACCCTATTATAATTGCAACGTAGAAAATGGCTGTAATAGTGTACTACGAGAAAAAAAAGATCTCAGAACGATCGATTTTTTACACCACTGCACAGCGAATATCAACACCTAAACGCCCACTGCGATTGTCTCTTAGAAGGGGCTACAATATAAAGAGAATAAGGATAGCTGGCATGAAATCACATGATCACATGAGGGAGCAAACCTGTTCCTTGCCCTCGTAGCTGATTTTTGCCAAAGGAACAGTGTGACTAAATAAGAAAATTTTAAAGACGGACAGACAGTTTTGGTTTCTGAGCTTTTCCTAAAATGGTGCTGTAAAATTCAAATTCACGATCTCTGCAGTTTGCAATCATTAGGTTTAATGCCACCCCTGGTGGCATACTGTAGGTTTATTTATTTGGATGGAGTAATTATAGCAGTCTTCCCTTACAGTGATATCTAAAAGGTCAACACGACTTCTTCAGACAACACAAACTGAACTTTTCAGCCAACCATCTTAATATATTGCAATTAAAAGTGATTTCAACCTTAGTATGCTTTCATAGGGTAAATTTTTATTTGATATCGAAACTAGAATCAGTGATCGGTTTACAGGCAGTTGGGATGCCGGAGTGCGGGCTGCTTGAGCTTCGCGATAAGCAGGAACCCATGCATTTGTTTTTCTGTACTCTGCCATGAATACAACTGCAGTGCATATACTTTCACCAATGCACTTTACTGCCCCATGAAATAACATGAACACCAGTGTGATCATTGAACCCAGCTTTAGCTTTCTGTCTCGAGATCAATTTTGCTGCAGTGTTTAAATTGGTAAAAATGTACTGATTCCATCAGTTAGCCTCCCAAGGAAGTTTACAGTGTAATGAATTGACAGATTCTAAACACTGTATATGGCATAAGTAAAGAGAACCAGAGTGGTCTAATAATTTTAATCAGCAACAACAAGAGTAAAAACACCGAATCGACATTAGTTCCTGCCGAGGAACGAAAATGAATCGGCAGTTCTTCATTAACGACTATATACAGCAAATGGCAATTCCAGAGAAAATGACCAAAAAGGAAGAGAGAAAATGGGGGAAAATTAATAAATTTATGAGAATCAATCTCTCTTCAACAGCAGTACACTGTCTTTAATAGCAGGTACAATTGGATTTAAAAGTGTTTTACAACCGATTATTACTCTCACACCGGCTCTCCTTTTAACACACCTTTGCAAGGCCATGAAGCTAAATGTTAAATTTTAATATTAATTTTATAAGGTGTATCTATACTATAGAGACTGGTTCAATAATGATTAGGTCCGCCGTAAAAATGCTGTGATATGAGCAGGAGGCTCAGATGCTGGTGGGCTCAGTTCAGAATTGACTGCTGTTCACGCCCTGTCTGCATCCAAAGCCGGTAAATGTTCCTTCCGGTGGTAGTTTTGATTAACTGACATTGAAAAAATCCTAGTAAAAAAGGCAATATAGGTCGAATAGACTGGTTTATTGGGCTTATTTGACTTTTGTAAATGTACATATTAAGTTTTCACTTTCTAAACTTGACTTTACTTCTCTCAACAGAACGTGGCAGAACACTGTAAGAAATGTTTGTCAGTTAAAAAAATGGGGGGAAATTGTTCATGCCCATGAAATGTTACAAAGAATTCAAGGAAATAGAAATTCAACCGCAAGTAAGGCGCAAAGTTCTCCGCCGCACCAAGGTGCAAAACGTGTACACACCCAATTATTTGACATGCACAGCCGGTTTCATGCATATATAGTTATTTGACACACATAGTTTCTTGCAGATTCCTAAAAGTGATTTTGTTTCTATGCTGTATTAAAGCTTAACAAATAGTGGATGTTTAATTTGATTACACTACTTTGTATAGTGTTTATTACTGAGGCGAACACTCTACTAGTAAGTCGTTCAGTGTTCAGTTTGTACTACTTGGAATCTATGCCACCAACCCACACCCTGATATGCTCGTGGCCAATGAACAGATCAACAGAAGTAGCTTCTACGTTCAATTTTATATAGTTTAAATACTTATACTTTGACGTTTCACCTGTATTGCTCCGTGCAGCTGTTGGAATAGATTTTCTAGTCCTTAAGCTTTCTTTTGTGAGTGGAATAAACAAAATATTATAACTGGAGTTGTCCAAGAAACGGTCAGAGATTTCATCCTTCTTTTCAGTACAGCACAGACGAGCCTTTCTATTTCTTGGCAGTTATCGTTTATTCTTCTTAAAATCTCGATAGCACCTTCTGATCAGTACTGTAACTGACACGTCTAAAGCTCAAGAGGCTTTGGGCTCCTCCAACATCCTTCAATATTTGCCACTTTATAACTTCTTCCTTTATGTCGTTTGACTCGAATTAGTGATCTTTCTATAGCAAAGAAACTCGATATCATTTGCTCCTCACCCTTATCTGTCCGCTAAGAGATTCTCTTCTACTAGACAAGAGTTACAATTTTCGGAGTATAATCCTCAGAAGTTCCATGAGAGAAAGAAATGGTTATATTGAGGCCGGTATATTAAAAGATAAACTGTGAACAAACTTTAAAGCTCAGCCGTCTTCGTGAAGACATTCCGAGCAATTCTTTTGACTAGAAATACCTCTTCATGACACAGCACTGTTAAATACAGTAAGTAGAACTGACCTAAATGAATAACATTCTGGTAATAAATATTGGTTTGCCTTCTAACAGTGATTTTGCTTGAGTTTAGGTCAATATTCTGAAGGCAATTTTGATTTCGTGCTAGTTCTACTCTTCATGCCAGCTTTCCAGTTTGCTAAAGCATTTATTATTTTGATCAGTATAGTGCAAGTGAACTTCTAATTTTAATCGCATAAAGAGTCATCAGGTTGAGCATTGAAAAAGAGTGGCAGGGTTTCATCAGTAATCAGTGTTTTGTTTTTCTGTTAAACAGAAGCGAGTTCAGAAAAGTGTGGCGTCAGAGAATTCAGTTTATCTTTTCTAAATAAATTATGGACATAACTGACAAGTGCTCCTAGAGGGAAATAAAATCTTCTGTTAGCCAACACCATACAATTTTCCAGCTTGGGTTAAAACTCTGAATGTTTTTTAGGTAGTCAAATGCTTCTTGGCATGATAGAAGGCGGTCAACATTGTTCAATGCAATTCATATAGTCTTTAGATCCTCTCTCTTCTACTTGCCCATGAATAAAAATGCATTGAAAAATCCTACAAATAATAGTCTTGAGTCTACACTATTTAAGCTCTGATAATTTACTGTGATTCATGGAAAATAAAGACTAGCAATTAGCCCTTGCATCAGGCTGATAAGTACTAGCTTGCATAGTTAAAGGTGGGTTAGGCGCCAGTGCATTCTATAGAATTAATCAAGATTTATTTTATTCTTTACAACTAGACTAATGAAAAAAGAAAGTCTCTCCCCTGAAGTTCCTACTACAAGCGATAATTTCTCCATCTTTTCTGCCGATGTCCATAGCTTTGCAATGATCCTAACATTTCAGAATAATTCAAAGCGTATCACCATAATGAAGCCTTCGTCTAGGTCTTTGGCAAATGATCAATTTTAATGACCATGTTGTATTGAACAGAAACGTAATAAATCGCTGATGTACCTAGAGGATGATGATAGTCATCCTAAATAATTAATCAATGAAAATGTACAAATTTGAAACCATCAAAATCAAGTACCGTTTTCATTGTGGCAGGGAAGTTAGACTGCGATGGGAAACAGCTTTCATTTTCAAAATATTATGAAGTCGTGCAAAACCGCCCGTCACACATTATTTCAACAGTGATGAAATTCATCTAACAGTTTAAGTTTTCAAACAAACAGAACACGCCACTCACCGGAAATGTACTAAGTTTCCTAAACCAGCCAAAATCGCTCAAACACTATATTGTTATTGTAGCAGCAAGCAGCGATAATGATTATGTGAGCCGTTGTTGCATACTAATGTAATGGGTGGAATAATAATTATTGCTCAGTATTCGCCGCAAGTTTAAGTTGGCAAAATGAGTTCTTTGAATTCCCTGAATCTTATCTAAACAAATTAGTGAAGCTTGGTGTTAGAGACCATCATAAAAAAGGCTTCATATTCTGACTTAAGCTGCAGTTATTTCCCACTGATTTACACTACTGAATAAGTTTTGAGTTATCGTCATCAGCACAGGCCACAAAACCAATACGGGGCATCAGTGTGGCTAAGGTTGCTGTTTCATTGATATTTACTTGTGTTAGATCCTTAGCTAGTATCACAGTAAAAAATGAATAGATCAGACTTAAACTTTCGAATACAAGTAATACAACTCTTAAGATGGGCTTACTGAATGGGGAAAAAATTCACCGGACAGTAGTACAAAAAGTAAAGACCCAGACTAGATCAAAATTGTTATTAAACCTTAAATCAGTTTAGCATAATCTAACTTTACTTCCTTTATTCCTTTTATCAGGTCCTGTACAAACTAAACAACTCATTTTACAGCTTCTTTCTCGGCTGTTGCGCCTCCTTTAAAGGCATGCAGATTCATCAAAGCCGCTAAATTTGTCACATATCTCTACGTATGCGTCGCCTACTGACTGTGTTAGTGGAAGGCAAAAGATAGAGAGACGATTTGTCTAGCCTGAGGCTCATCAGTTTGCCCATGATCTCCGCTTGTCCGGAGTTTTGCTGTTTTGTCTTCAGTTTTTAAACATAGTTTCTTATCCAGATATACATCTAGATAACTGGAGTAAAAGGCAAAAAGGCTACTGTACCTCAAGAATCCGACCACAAACGAATCAATAAGAATTGACAACAAAGTTTAAGCTGCTCACTAGACTTGACCAGAGTAATGAGATATAAAGTTAATTATTTTAAAGAGGAATAATCATCCTTCTGGTCTGGACTTCAAAGCGACACCGTAATAGAACTAGGACATTTAACGGAAATGACATCAAGGAAGGAAGATCATTCCATCAGCCAAGCGAACCTAAAGTCGCGTGTGAGAACCGGGAATCTTGCTTATTTTCAAATTGTAATTTACTGATCGCTAAAATGATCGTTAATTTTTATATAAGCTGGCTTAGTGTGTTTGTTATAAAAACAATTCATACTTAACAATAAAATAATTACCTATTATTCAAAATTGACGAGGTTATATAACTGTAAACGTGACTTAGCATCCTATACGAAAGCTTCAGGGTCCAATTAACCAACAAACTGAACTGTTCAAAATAAATATTAGAAATTAAAAGGAGAGAAACTGATCTATTATCGGTTCTTGCTCTCTTATATCTAATAGAGACGTTCGTCCGCGTCTGGATGGATGAAAATTTTTACGCAGTTTAACGGCTTCGGTGGAACCTGGCGGATTAAGCTTCACTTTATGTTTTAGCTGAGTAAAATTAACGATACAACTGTGTGTGTGCCTTTCACTTTGGATTTTATTTTACTTTATTTATTTATTTATTTATTATTTTTTCATGCAGTCATCAGAAGATTACACGGGCATTTAAAAAAAGATGAAAGAGGAATATTACTAATCAAGACCCCCACGCCATATCAACAGGAAAATTTCCTATCAGAAATTTATACATGCATGAAACCAACATCACAATAAATACAAATAGACAGTACTGACGAATAAACTGCATTAGCTTCAAACTTCCGTAAAGTATATATTTGGTACCTTTTTAAAAAGTTGTGAATTTTTAAATGTAGTATTTATACATACTGAATCGATAATAGCTTTGACTCTACTATGATTTTACTAAGTTTATTATTCAATTTTTTGCTTCATATATAATCGGGTTCAGAGATCTGAATAGCGTAATCGATATTTTTCAATTTAACTTATTCCTTTGAAGATCGTCGAAATTTTGAGAAAGGCAGTTATTAAGAGCAAGCGAAGGGACGAAGTTTTTTTGTGACGCAATTGGGAAACATTTTTAACTAGAAACTGCAAAACACAAATCAACTGACAACTAACGATCCATACACAGCAGCTGATTGCCATGAAATTGCATTTTGTCATTGACAAGCAAAGTTTCTGCCCATAACATGACATTAAAATTTCACGATGCAGTCATTTTAGCTACCACAATTCATTTTCATTTTTCTTATAATCACATTTACTAATCCTATTAAAACAAACACATTCTAATCTGCACAAGAAACCAAAATCCTGAATGAAACAATCTGTTAGTTGCATTACAGGTAAAATGAAACTACTATCTTATTGATATTGTTACAATAAAGGTATGTAAAGATGCCTTCATGGCCTCTTATTGGTAGGTCCGGTTCTAATGCAACAAATAAGATGCTTCTTCTCACGCAGAAGACTTGATTTTGCTTAGCAATGATTTAGTTCGTCACAGGCGTGGCAGGTGTTGGCAGTGTTTCGATCTGGTGTTGGGATAGTGTTTCGTTCTCCTTTTCTAATCCCCACCGTCACTACAATCGGAATACTTTAACACTACTTAAATACACGGAGCTGAACACCGCGTGGCGTCACTTCTGTTTCCGCGCCAAAGTGGACAGTGTGTCATAGATTTAGTACTCTTACAATGCTGCTGAGAATAACTTATAGCTACATGTGTTTGGTCGTGTGCCTAGCTGTGCCTTGTTCTGCAATATATTTATCAGTCTAAACAATGATACTCCAGAATCTAATGTTTCATTTTACCTAACGTTGTCAATACTTCTACGTCCGCCTTTGTTAATTTCGACAGAGACCTCCCTATTGTTCGTTGGAGTCAGTGAGGTTAGGCCTATTAGTGAACATGACAAAATTTGTTTCATCAGAGCTATTATAGTGCCTTCCATTATGCTCCATCTAGCGTAACTGTCTTCATAATACAGAGAGAGTATACCCCGTACAATTAAGTGGGAAAACGTAAATTTAACTGAAAAGGGAAAAATAGGTATACCAGCCACGTCATTACTCGAAGCCCTAAGGTCACATGCACCTTTCAAACTCACAGTTTCTCAAGTTAAGCTGTAGCTACAATAGGACGCTCGATATTTGGAATATCAAGTTCGTCCTAAGAAAAAACCTTTTGTCGAGTGATTTCTACATCTTCCTTAAAAAGTAACCCATTCCATATTTTTCGGGTTGTATTACACCATTTCGGCATTTTTGGATTGGGCTCATCAGGGGCTCAAGGAAAATCAGCACCTCTTGAAATGTGGTTGACATAATTATAAGCAAGTGAATTTTGAAAAACGAATTTAACAACTTTGAATTGTTGTCAATAACATGAAAGTGAAAGGAATTTGGCTGACTGAAGCAGGAAAAATATGGAAATAATTTAAAACAGAATCGGCTACGCAAGATCGATAACAAATTTACGACGGAAATGGCGTAGCGGAAGGAACATCATTCCATCAGTCAACTGCGAACTAAGACCGAGGCATGGCGGGAACACAGAATGAACAATTCCGTCCGTGTAACTGGTTTTTGGGCTTTAAGAGAGGTTATAGTATCTTATTAACGGAGCGGTACAAAGTCCTTTTATGCGTAAAACTTAGCGACTGAGGTCTTACAGGAGTTTAGTAAACTTTCTACTGGACTGTTGTCGAGATGAAGGCGCGCAGTTTGGAAGAGAAATTTGAGGGCAAAGACATGTCTGGTGTCGACTAGTAGGCAGGGGAAGCTTTTTGCTTGTAGCGTTTAGTTCAGTGTCAAGAGTAAAGCTATACTAGCTGATGTCAGTGTGTAGTATTATTTGTATCGTTTCCAGTGATCGATCCTTCGTCACCTAGTGTGTTTTTATCACAAACAAATTAAAACAAAGAGATAAAGCACTGAAGAATTTTTTTCTGTGCGTTTTAATTTAATTACTGATCGCTCAACCATGTGGCTGTGTATTCAGCTTTACTTTTCACCAGGTCAAACGTAGTTTCAGCATCTTCAACATGACGCTCCTTTAAGCTTGTCTTTTTACGTAGCTTCAAGTTATCTGAATTTTTAAATAGGTCGGGTAAATTCACACTGGAATCACTTCTTTTGCTGAATGACTGACTTGCTCCAACAGTCGTAGGCCTTGAAGGAACAATGGGCAGCTTCCATTCCTCCAGTCCAACTTTATCAAAGCTCAAGCCATGCCTCTCAATTTCCCTCATACCTTGTAAAGAAGCAGTTCTACCGAGTCGAAGGGAGGTGATCTCTTCTGAATGGGTGGAGCTATCATGCCTTACTTTATTTGGTTCAGAACCGCTTCTAATTCTTGGTCGCACTAGAACAAAGCTTGCAGATTGTGACTCTTCACCCAACGAACGGGTATGGGAAAGCCTTCTTACGCTGGATCGCCAATCAGAGCCAGGGCTTAACTGCTTCAAACAGGCTTCTTGTTCAGCCATCTTAAAGTTGGACATAAAAAAATCAAAGGTTAGCGTCGGCTGGAAAATGATGTCAGGTCAAATTGCCCGTAAGTGTTTCGTTTCCCATCACCCGCTCTTTCCTGAAATTGGGTTTCTCCCTTGGGCAAATTAAACAAGGTAAGAAAAGGGCTCCATAAGAAGGTGTGGTTCCAGATTCTCAAACTGAACAACTAGGTCGTATTATAGAGAAACTTCCATGAATGTTTAAACGCCAGCATGCAAAGGATCGATGGCCGGGTGTGTCGTTATCTTTTCCTTGCTATGTTAAAAAACATGTTGACAAATAAACTAATACAAACAGTTGTTAAATAAAAGTGAATAAAGATACTATTGAAGCAAGGAGTAAATTTCGTTTACTTCTACAAAACGTTCATATTCCGTAAAGTGGGTTGGGCCTGGCCAAAGCATGTCGAAATCTTTACGAGCAGGGCCTCAGTGGAGTATGTTATACGGGAATTTGAAACTGTTTTTTTATCTCTCTTTTAAGTGTGTGACTAAGAAGCTCTAATCAGTTCCATATACATAGTTCATTCCGCAGCAGCATTAGCTTTTTGTATGTGTGTGTGTCTTTGTGGGTGTGGGTGTGTGTGGGGTGGGAAGGGTCATAATAAAATGTAACTATATTAAAAACCAAACAAGACCGAAGACAGATCCCTGGGGTACCCCTTAAGTTACCTATTGGGGTCTTGAAATTGCTCTTTCCACGAAACATTGTGGCCGAAAAAACGTCGGGAAGGCACGGGCCTCCTCCCCTCCTCTCATGAAGGAATCAAATGTACCAAAATGAAACTTATAAGAAGCTTCACCTGAAAACCTTACGATACTGAACGTCAGAACTCCGGAGAAGTAGAGTGGGAGAGGGTGAGATATGCTCAAAGCAGGGTCCTTGGGAACCAAGACTATGCGAATCGGTGAGTTAATTAAGCGCTGTATAATCGCTTACTTAATCCCGAGATTCTACTAGCTATATCGATATCTAGCAATATCAAAACTAGAACAATCCGCACCTTTCTCGAATGCCGATATGCTTACCGAAAATCTTCGTTTCAGCCAACTTTTGGTATCTTGTGGTGTTTAGGTGTTCATTTATGTGTTGATCGTGAATTTTAACCCGGTTATGATATTGACAATTTAACATAAGATGACTTATCCATAATTAATGAGGCATTCTTGTCTTTTGTGTCGTATTACTTTTCTCCCATGATCACAACGACCCCTAGTCTAGGACATTTGTTCATGTTAAAATGCATACGTAGAGACTTGGTTTTCAAAAAGTTAATTCACAGTTGTTTACTAAACTACTAACTCCAGTAAAATTAGTCTGTAGACAAAGACGTAAACACAACCAGTGAGAAGAAGCGTCTCAATCAATTTCGAATTTTCCCTGTTATGTTTTACCGGCTCATTCCACTTAAGACAAGATAAATTGCTTCGTTTAATGCCCCACTTTGAGTGTTTAATGAGCGCAAATTATTCGTCGTAAAGTCTTGGTCATGCTCCAGAGAGGATTTGACAGAGATGTTCACTGCAATTTAATAATCTTGAAAGTTAAACAAAAAAATAGTGAAAAAAATTTTTTTTTCCTTCTAGATATTTCCAACATTCACATGATAATTATTTTCAACACAACTTAACTTAACACTGCGGAATGAAGTCTAATGCATTTATACAGTATTGTTCTTACTGGACCAAGAGGAGTATGAAATGGCTATATCATTACACTTTAATGGGAGATTGGAGAAAAATGGAGGTCCATTTCTTGGTCTTTTTGTTTACAGTTGGCATCGCAGCTACTGATTTAATGTGTGCAAAAATATTAATATCATCAATTTTATTGCTATGCTGCGCTTTGGAAAACTTGTACTTCTCAATCTTTACAAAGCGTACATTTTACCACTTTTAACTCTTATCTCTGGCATTTTTGTAGGGTGCGCGATGCGGAGAAGTTTAGAAGCGCTAAACAATAAAGAGCTTAGATTTATACTTGGGGATTACTCATTCCCTACAAAGCAGTCTTCTAACTAAAGTCAACTTATCTTCGTGATGTTATAGAATTTCCCTATATTATTATACTTAGCCTATTGTTCCCCCATTTTCCTGCCTTTATGAAAAATATGTTGTCACTCCGGCCAGTGGCTAATGTTCTCACTACCTATTATTGAGTTATAAAGAGTAGCTGATGGCGTTTTGAACTCATTAAAAACAAAATGATAATGGCAACCTTTTCAACCATTTCGTGTTTTGACTCAAAGAAAACTAGTCCTTGTAGTCCGATTGTTAAAAAAAAATTGTGGTTACAGTTTATTACGTTGTTTTCTTTTCTAAATGCCCTTAAGACATAACGTTTTAAAATCTATATTGTTTGTGTTACCAAAAAATAGTGAATGCGTGGTGAACATGCTATCAAATGGATGCTGAAGAAAATGACACTTGCCAATTGCAGCTGGATTAGAATATTGGAAGAGTTGTGGATGAAGTCCAAGGCAACCTTTATAACATTAGTGCCTCAGTAGACAGCTAAAAATATGGATGTTTTTGTTTGAATTTTGTTCATTAGTTTTTTAGTTATTAACTATATTGCTCCCCTACCTCCCCCCCCTCCCCCCCCCCCCCCCCCCCCCCCCCCCTCCCTCCCCCCCACCCCGCCTCTCCCCCCCTCGACGATACTTCCACTACTCCTCTCACATTCTTCTCTTTTTACTTTTTTTCTCTTTAATCTTAACGCACCGTGTATTATTGATTTCTACACTGCATAGATATCAATTTAGATTTTGTTTGTTTTTGTTTTGTTTTTTGTTTTTTTTTTTTTTAATATTTTTTTCCCCCCCCCCCCCCCCCCCCCCCCCACTGCCAATTGTTTAAGTCCTTCTTCTTCCAACAAGGAAGTCGCTAAGTCGCTAGGAGTGTTAAGCATAATCTAAAATTCCCTTGTTATACATGTTCCCAACTTAACCTTGGCAGAATATCCAGTTAATATAAACTTGCCGGATATTACATGGAATGTGGAACAGGGATGTTTGAAAGGGTCTCGAAGCACTTTGACAGCTTTTTGGAGTAGTTTGTAAAGAATTGGTCATACTCCACTATGCATCTATTGTATTATTGGGACGGTTTCCAATTGACCTCCGTTCGTTGTCGTAACCCTGCAAAACAAAGTGATTACTCCGGCCAATTACAACGCAGACAAATACCGCGAATTACTAATCAGAACTTGCTGCCATCACAAAAAGCTAAATATAAGAACAGGATACACGTACGGTTAACAGTCCGCCTCAATTCATTTATTTAACTTGCAAAACAACTTTATGATAGGGGAAGTTTTATAATATTCAATTTTTTCATTATTATTATTATTTTTTTATCATAACTGCTCGTGGACTCCTTTAGTATAAGATTCGGTCACGACAGTAACATTATTCGCTCAGAAAATTCAAGTGACTCGTATTAGTCGGCGAGTGCAACCTTTTCTTTATTAATTGTAATAGGGAGCCAGTATCTATACGACAAAAATGTTGATTTCTGGCTATAATTAAGGGACGGGAACCAGTTTCCGATGTTTAAAAGGATCTATTCTTTCAAAAATTAAAATCCCCGACAGTGAAACCTTTAGGCGAGAAATTTTTTTATTAGGAGCAGTCAGGACACAGTAAAAGAAGGATGCAATTCAAGCAATTTAAGAGGATGACATCTTAAAAATTAAAATATATCATATGGATAAAACATGTCACCAAGGACGGGACAAAAATCATAAACCATTTGCAAGACATTTCTATTGAGAAGCACTTAACTCTCTTGAAACAAGACTGAAAAAAAACTGCCTGAGCAGGTGTGCGAATTGTTGACAGTTTACTGAGCAGTTGAACAGCGATGGCAGAAGAAAACTGGAAAACCAAAACTGCTGGACAGTGCAGTGCAACTCCCTACGGAATGATATGATTGTCACTCAAGTTCGTATTACATTGTGTAAAATGGCTTTACTTTACTAACAACAGTTGATGATGATGATGATGATGCATGGTATCTTTCTTAAAAGCTAGTCAATGGACCTACAGTATTATTTTCTAGTTGTGTTCATCATGATTCGGTTTAATAAACTTTGATAAATGATCTTAAATACATGACAACCAAATAGCTTGGTCCGAACACTTAATATTACTCATAGTTTAGTTTTAGTAAACTATTACACAAACACAAGTAAGTGACAGAGAATGGAATGCAGTTTTGTACTGAGCTGGTTGATACGGTTCCCCACTGATGATGATATTTCAGTGTGGCTATATAATGAATCAATATATAGTCAAAATAGTGGTAAAACTAATTGGTAGACAACTATAAACTTCCTTGACGACGGTTATTTCATCTTCACTATTTCCTTAATTGATGGTTTCAACGATCAGGTGCGACTTGGGTAATTCATTCCCCGAACATGTATTTAAGCTTGCATTGATCTTTGTCTGAAAAACGGTACCTCAGTTGCACCACTAGCTAAGCTTTTGAGTCTTGGTATATGACTCTGATAGCCGGCGATGGGTTTGCAGTTTAACGAAAGCCGAATAAGGACCTGACTTGTTTTGTTGATCACCAGTTGATAATCCAGACTGTGCGCATATCATTCCTGCGTCTGCAGATAAACTCCTGGTTAATTTCCGTGTGCCCTTGTCGCTCAAATATCGCTGAGCTATCTTCGATCCACGCAGTCTTTCTAGAAGCAGGTCCTGGTCATTTCCACGAACCTCAGCAGCGCTTCTTGTTCCCTCTCTTGCACTTGCTTTGCGAATGATAGGAGGAAGAAAATTCGACCTGAGAATTTTTTTCGTAAGGCCGTTGGACCTTCTCATGTCCTCAAGAGAAAGATTCTCAAGGGCGAAGTCTAGTTGTTCTTCTTGACGCTTCTTTTGTTGTTTCAAAGAAAGTTCTTCAAGCTCTTGAAGTCTCCGCTGAAGCCGTCGGTCCTCAAATACGTTCTTCTTTGTGGTAAGATCCGCGTTTTCGCTCGTGAGTGAGCGCCTTTTCTCGCCAAAATTCATCTCCTACCTATTCGATTTACCGGCTACGTTTATCCAGAAGCAACTGTTTACCGAAATAAAACGACTTGTCTCGCGTTTTCTGACCCCATTTGAACGGTCTGCTGGGCAGAGGGAAACAACTCATTTATCTGGACCTAATAATTAAAAAAATTAAATATTTAATGACAAGGCTTATAGCTACATCACAAAATGGTTTGCAGAAGAGTCCACAAAACCTGTCCGACAAAAACCCTGAATATGAATTCACGCGACTTATGTAGTAATTACAAGAAACAGTTGGTATTTGTACTTCACAGGCTCTTAAAATGTGAGATAATTGAGTCCGCCTTGCAGCACATATAATTAGAATTGGGAGAGCCAGAGACAAATTCACTTGTCATTGGTTTTATGACGCACTAAGAAGGTGTAAACAATTTTAACTATCATCGCTGGCTGGTGATGAAGATCATAATGATTTTATAAGTAGGCATCTATAAACAACTAAATGAAAGTGAAAACTTATTACCGATATTAAAATTAGCTAGTCATTGAAACCTTTGTCTAGGTATTACTTCGGTTAAAGTCGTAAACTTACCATGGACTTTCATAGTCCTCTAAAAATTTTTGTAAGCATATCACTCGCTTGTTTGAATTTCAACAATCGTAAGTGATTTCCTAAAAGAGCTAGCTTTTTGACAGTGCTAATCACACTTGGAACTGATTAAGATGCTTAAAATTCTGCATTCCTTCAGTTTGCAATTTCTAAGGCGAACTCATTTGGAACAAAAAGGAGGAATAAACACAAAAGCTTAAATCATAATCTGATAAGCTATTTTTTTCTCTCAAACCAGTGTGCAATCCCGATCGCTTATCTCAAAAATCAGCGGTTTAATCAAAAGAATACCAACGAATTCAGTTAATGCTCACTAACTGTCGACGTTTAATCCTTGTTTAAGGGCTGGTAAAATGGGTATGAAAACCGGTATCCTGGTTGAGGCCATTCCGGGAGGGCAAACTAAATCAACAATTGATGCATGCTTTCGGCTGCAGTTTAGTCTATGTAACGAAAATTCCAATCGCGAGTTTTACCTGGTGCAATAAGGTACAGGAAGAGAAAGGCTGAGACTTCAGTGGATAGACAGCATACAAGCCTGTGCCTGGTTCTCAGATATAGTAGGGACGTCGAGAAAATAAAACAAGCTAGGAAAAAAATAAGACGTGCGCGATGTTACTACCTTGGATCCTGGAGCAGGCGACATACAGTGCCGCTAGTTGATTAGCAAGCCGAGTGTTTTTCCTCACAAATTAATCTTTTCTTAATAGCTTAAAAATGATCGAAAACAAGACAGTCGTTTCAGTCTTGTGAAGTCTGTGAGGTAAAACCTTTTTTTCCATTTATACTGCCAGGAATAACTCGTCAGAGAAGAAAGTATTAATAATTATAAACATTGCGTGAGAATTTGGAAAGATAACTGTAGAAATTTGTAACAGTTGACCTGCCCTCAGGGCAAGAGCTCCTTTAACATGCAGTCTTTTGATTTTTTAAGTACAAGTGAAAGCGGGCAAAGTTTATTCCCGTGATCAGTTAACCAGTTAATTAGAGCTTTATAATGTTCCCAGTGTTCTACCAAATATCGCCGTGGGGACACAACAAGATGTGTAGGAGGCGGGGGAGGTTGTGGTCTGATGAAATTATTTGTAAGAGTGGAGTTCAAACTGCTGAAGCATGCTCTGATCTAGTCCGTGTGTAACTGGAAGCGCTTAAAAAGGGACCCCCTTTGTTTTTGTTTCACTTTTTCGCGAGGTATACACCAGTTACGCACACCTTTTTCGCGTGCCGAGGGTGTCCGCTTACAAGAGCTTCCTCTGATCTGTAAGTACCTTGGCGAAAAACTTAGTTTTGGAGGGGCCTTTATCTCCATTCAGCGCAACTTTGACAGAAAGTATATCCAGTTTTGTTTTTTTCTTTTTGCATCTTTGCCATACTGAATTTTTTGATTAGAAGAAAAAGGTGTAAATCTGGTCTATATCCATCCGCAACTCAGGATGAGTGGAAAAAATCGTGCAACTTTGGCCGGAGCCTCCTCGTAAAGGAACTTTATTAGCTACCCCCGCAGGAGCCCCCCTCTTCCCCCCTCCCCCCGCGTTATTCGCGGAATAAAAACAAAATAGACTACGTAAGTGTTTATACGCAAGTATGATCACCCCAGGTTAATGACATCCGTCTAGATTGTGTATTTAAATAATCATATCTGATGGAATACAGATTAATTTCTATCTCACTATTGCTGTACGTTTTAAATGGGATATTACAGTAAGGTGGTGGCTCATAATATGCAGTGTAGCATTCAACCTAAAAGTAAAATTGATTCAGTGTTCTTTTGTCTTTAAAAAACAAGGGGACACATTTCATACCAGGCATTCCGGATTACGGTTACGGCACGTTGGAGTTTTTTTTTTTTCTTTTTTAATACCTTGCTAAGCACTGAAACAAGTCAAACAACTTTATCAACGCAAAATACTGAAGTTTTCACACATGTACGCGTTTACAATGGAAATTTACCAGATTGTGGGAGCTGTTCTGTTTACGTAGATATGTCTAACAGAAAACAACTGAATAATAGGATTGACAGCTACTTGGCCTAAGGGCTTTCTATAACTGAACTCTTACTATAGCAAGTATAAGTTGGTTCTTCAGCTGTGAAGACTTTTAACCGCTTGTTTTGGTTTGGGTGCCGGCATATTACTCGCATCAACAATTATTCGTCGACGTAATAGCCCATATAGAAGCAAAAAGCGCGTTCGACTTCTTTGACTACAGAGCTGACGGGAATGAGTAGTAATTCCCTCGAGAAAACAACAGGAATGGCTATGCCACATTTTATACAGGTTGCGCGCAACAGTTCATCTGTCAAATGTGCACAGAAAGTCTACAGAAACCGGCTCTGCGATCCCCTGCCGGCGTCGGGCTACCAGCCATTGGAAGTCTGCCCATATGAGGTATCTCATACTTTGAAAGTTCAGTACAGGAATGCTACATTTCCTACCCTAAAAGGAGGCGAAAAAAATCGCCCGGAAACCACCGCATCCAAGCCAGAACTGACCGTGTCAGGAAAGCGGAATTCATGGGCCTGCAATCTTAGAAGAGCGAGCGAAGGGGATGATTGTCTATTTCTAGGTTCGAAATCAGCACTTCCAGAAATTAAAACCAAATCAAAGGCCAGGAGAAGTTTGTCGCTTCCACTTTCGACGGAAAATCTGGCAGATTTAGAGTCATTTTTGTACGAAGAACACTCTAATACGACGACAGACCCGCTGCCAAGGATCACTGAGCCAGAAAACGACGCCGTCTTCAAAAATATCTTTGAAGGCCATCCGAGATCTGATTGTTTGGCTTCCAATATGGCAGGACGTTGTACAGGTGTATCCGAAATTCCTCCCAAAAGAAACCGACTCCACGCCATGCGAAAGCGTGTGAAGGAAGCAGAGACTGATTACGATGAAACAGAAATGAGAGCTTCAAGGCTTTTTGAATGGCTTAAGAATCAAGCGGAAAGGAGTAATTTGTCTTAGTAGGTTTCCTTTTTCGCAAATTTTCCAACCAAACTGTAATTAGAATTTCAGCAAAGTTCTATATAAGGCTCTACTGACTCGTTTAGTATGAATTTTTTGAGGAGGGGGCCTCTTCTCCCTTTCCCCCCGATAAACATCGTCTCCGCTCGCATGACTGAAGTGATTACTCCACCTTTACTTCCCGGAAAGAAATGTGAGCAGCTAGCAAAACATTTGAACACACTCATAAATGAACTTACAGGAAAGAAAAATAGACAAGGTATGAAATAGAAAAAATGATAGCAACAAGTGTTGACTGTAGATTGCGAACATAATAAACAATGGTTAATATTTTCCCAATTACCGTTTACCTTGCTGAATCGAAAACGCGGCAAATGTACCGAATTTCGCATCCTAAATAGCGGCCAGAATGCCTCGATACCAGCTAGAAACTGGAAACATTATAATTCCCCAACACCAGGATGAGAAAAGCTCAATAATACTCGACAAAAGAAACGAAGATTTAATACTTTTCTTTCCTTCATTTTATTTATTTATTTATTTAGATGCAACACGCTATATGTATACCATTACCTTACATTAAGCGTTTGAACAAGAAGATAAACCAGAGATAGTTAACATACATAAAATTTACACCTTTGATCTCTAAAAAATGAACGATTACCCGGCACACACCGGATGTATATTGGTGAGGCTGTAACTTCACTGAGGTTACGCAGACTAAGGCTATCTTCATTCTATGCCGGATAGCTTTTGCACCGGCACGAAAACCATAACGGATTGGGCTTCTGTTCCCACATAAGAACGGTGATTTCGGCGCGATTTCTGTTACACAGAGAAGCTGTGCCGCGCTAATCTCCAAAGTGGAGAGTCACATATCGGAAAGGCAGGGGCACCTAGCAAATTTTTTCTGTAAAATAACTGTTCGAAGGAGCAGATATTGACTAGACATTTCTAAACCTTGAGAAAAGCTGAAAATTTCAGGATAACCGTTCCATTCGTCTAAAATATTCGGAGGTTTTCTAATAGCCTGAGCATAACTACGATTTTCGGAGGTTATGTTAAACAAATTCTAACACCGAGATATTGCGATTATTTTTAAAAAGGTCTCCTAAAACTTTCGGTATAAAGAAAAAAACGTACTTCATGTCCTCGAACTTTCGACTAGACCCATAAGGATAGCTAACACTTTCGGATGAGACGAAAAAGCCAACTAAAACTTTCGTGACGACCAAAGTTCCCCTAAGACATCCGAACAGATAAATAGTTTTTTAAAGACAACTTCAAATTAACCAAACAGGCTTCTAAAGTATAGAGAAGACCAATTGAGACACTTCTGGTGTATTTGGAAACATTCGGTCGTTGGGTGCCCCTGGAAAGGTGTTCATACTTTAGCGGAAAGCCTTTCGTGTCGGCACGAAAAACTATTCGGTAAAGTATGACCATAACCTAAGAGAATTATTCTCCAAAGCTAAATAACGTTCCATAATGGACAATTCCAAATGGGTGGACAATGTTAAAGGCTTTCACATTAGCTTGAGCTCGACTAAATATAACTTACAGGTATAATATACACTTAATGTAACTTATGCCAGGTCCCGAGGTAAGTAAGTATTGTTATACCCTGTATTCATAGACTTTCAATCAACTAAATAGGGATTACTTGTGGTTGATTCTTGATCACGTGGATTTGACTAAATCCAAGTTGTTGTACCCCGCTCGCAGAGTGCAAAGAAAGTAGTGTCCGATAGCCCGGGGCTAGTGGACTTTACTTTAGTGAATTTTGTTCTTAACTTGCCCGATAGGCAAGTGAAGTTCTTTTAGGGGATTCAAATTGCAGAGGAACTGTAATCAATCCTCTTCGTCAATTTTTTTTAAAGGTTAGTTAACATAGCTTTTAAGCTCACTACATGCTACCAACAGCTTGCTCGAATGGCAAGATGTAAAACCGATTTTCTTTGCACCGGGCGCTCGGGATACCACAGCATGTGATCAAGGCGTGAAAGAAGGCGGGAAAAACACCGCCACTTTTTACTCTCGTGATCTGTGAATGAACATAACAGCATAAACATGGAGCCTTAGGCTAAAAAACAGAGGGGTTTATAACAGGAATAAACAAAGCGATTCGAGATAAGCCAAAGCAATGCTAGTCAAAATACGTTTTGTATACTGCTTTGTAATTAAGCTTCAAAACGTCATCATAAATCGAATTCATTTCAGTCCAAGCTAGAGGGGGCCCTTAATCGGATGTCCTTCTTTGTTTACAGGTAGATGGGCCTATAACTGGGAGGATTATAAACGACAGTTTACGGTATATTTGTGTTTTTATAAAGCTTTTATTATAAGTACCGAGATTGTCTTGATTCTTTCTTTATTCTTTCTCGATGTGGAAGTGAAAGTCTAGGAAATTATTTTCGGGACATTCGGATCAGAACCTTCGGGAAAACAAAACAAGCTGTTTTTCTCGGGGCCTGACATTAAGTCTACAGTAAAATCCCGCGACTAAGAACCTGTTAGGTTAAATTTGCCAGGTACGCCCCCGCCTCTATACAAGAACTTGTTTAACATTTGAAACAGGTTCTTATTTTCTAAACACGTAAAAAAAATTATGTAACCTTGGGCAAATAAGATAAGTCAACATTCAGAAACCTCTTTGAAGGTATAGTCTATATATGCCTTATCACTCCAACTGCAATGTAATGGTATGCAGATTTTATATAAGGAATAAGCTGAATATACCAATGAATACTCTTACCTTCAATGTATTTTTTTCTTCAGAAAATAAGAACATATTTAAGAACCTAAATAGCCTAAATTTGTGCTCATTACCATTTATATACGAACCCGTTTAGGCTAACTTAGAAAAAAGGCAGGTTTTTAGTCGCGGGTTTTTTCGTCTACCAATGTATAATTCTAAATCAGCGAACTACTGTAAAGCCCTAACCTTACTTACTTACTTGCGTTCGTTAGTGCTAGCGTGAACTCGACTAAATATAATTTACAAGAGGTGTAACATCTTTAACTTGGGTGTGTTTGTCCTCTTCATGAGTTTAGTGCTTCCCACAGTGACATAGTCATATTTTCTTTATTTTCTCCCTCGAGTCATAAGAACCCTAAGAATGAAACAACAATTATTAGTAACAAGGTGAAGCACAACAAACTTTGCCACTTGCTCAAACTCCATCATTAATATACAGCTATTTCGAGAACGGTTGTCGGAAAAAATGTGCACACGACAACCCCAAAAGGTATTAAGGGATATGATCAATACACTGTTTCTAACGACTGTAGCTGTCGAACCTACTCTTGTTGCTTTCCACTTGCACATGCGAACATATGTCCGAGGCCTCGCGTGCCATTCTTTCAAATTTCTTTGGAGAACAGGGCAGACAAAACCACCCACAATACCTTTCGGGATTGTCGCGTGCCCTTTTTCCGACAACCTTTCTCGAAACAGCTGTATACCGTGCCCCGTCTGTTTAGCCCCACCCTTTGGTAAGTACGCAATCCCATCCTCTCCGTACCTTTTTTCAACCCATGCCTCCCCCCAGAAACCTCTAGTGCACGTCCTGTTGCAAAACAAAACAATTTCGCACTCCAGCTCATTCTTGAAAACGTAAAAAGCGACAATGACTTCTAGAGTCTACTCACTTAATGTTCTGAAATTGAACCTGGTGAGTTCTTTTTCACAAACAGCGGGTACCTTTCCACTCTACAGCCTGAAAATATGAACAAAAAGGTAGTATGAATGCATAGCATAGTACAAAACAACATGAGAATCAAACAATCCCACTCACCAAATAGAACTGAGAAAGACTACAGTAGAACCCAGTTCACTCGGACTCGCATAATAATGCAAACTCCTCGCCAGGTAACTTACAAGCGAAAAAAATAGATTTCCCCTCGGATTTGTCATAATATTTGTATGTGTAACTAAATGATATACTCGTGAAATTAGGGGCTAAATTCGCTTCCGTTTTGCCTAAATTCTAATATTTTCCTCAGCCTTTTATTAATGTCATGGGTGAAAAAATACGCTCGCAATCGTGGATTTGGTTGCTTTTTCTATCGAGAACTCCACGCACTGAAAAGTTTAAAGCATAAATTTCGGGTTAAGTTCTTGATTCTCTTAATTTCTGGACAAAATACCTGTTAGAATCCTTCTTTATGTGCTCTTTCGTGTGTTTTTCTAAAGTGTCTTTAATGCCCTGACATCTTGAGTCATGACATTTTAAAAGCTTGACGCCATCTTGGCACTAAGACATACGGAACGTTGCCATAGCAATTTTGTAATTACACAAGTGAAATATAAATTATAACGCTGAAATTTCGCGCCAAAAGTAAGGAGCAGTTGGTCACCCAAGATATTGTAAGTTATCAACCAGCTGGGTCATATCGAAATTCTTCCACCCTAAAAATAGAAACCACTCTTAAGAGAACAAACCCAAACGATTTTGAGGAAGCGCGGTTATACTTCCCTTGCGCGCGTTTCGCTCTTTGCGCCATGCCGGGCGGATAAAACCACCATGGGCAACACACTTACCATAAGCAATAGGTGTAAGCTTGAACACCGTGTGAAATGGAATACGTAGATTAGGAAGCTCTCCTGAAATTGAGAAAAACGGCAATAAAAGAGTCATTAAATTCTATTTCCTTTCATTTTGTTCCGGCTAACAAACGAAAAACAACGCACGGAATCAGTTCGACACTCACAAAAATATTCAAAACGTTTTAGAAGGTTCGGAGTTTTGGAAAATGATACAAAAAATATGATATTGACAATTGCCATGAAATTGTGTGGAAGAATTCCACTGCGCAACCTGCATGATCAAGACTGTCTTTTTTTGTTTGAGAATTTACTTAGAATTATGCTGTCTTAAGTTTTAGTTAGTAATACATGTTTCTCACACACAAGGACTTGACCAGCCGCAAACACCTTTTTAGTCAAAATTAGACCTCTATTCAGCATCCTAAACATCTAAATTTACATATTACATCGTTGGGTCCTTTTGCGTAAAGCTTAAAATAAAACAATAGAGTTAATATTCGCGGGCGAGGGATAAAATGAGCTCTGAAAATAAAAGGGACCAAAACACATTTATGCCCAAGAACATAAACTCTATTGCTGTTATTATCACTTTGAAGAACAATGGGTATGGATATTTTCGGGAAATACACAATCAAGATTCTTTTCAGACGGTGTTTGTGGACCTAGCCGATTAGACTTATAGTACTGAAATATTACATATAATAAGAACAGGGTTTTGACAAAACAATAAAGCAACTGAAAAAAAAAAGAAAAGAAAAGCAACCCTAGCCTGTGCACCTGTGCAGAGATGTGATAGGACTATGTTTTGGTGACTGTGGCATGTCCCTCACATGTCTTTCTAAGGGTGAAAAGATAAAGCAAAGAACTGAAATACAGACTATTGTTATAGAGCAGTTTCAGTTCTCTCGACTCACCTGAACTGTGATCCAGGAAATAAGCCATTAGGCATTGTAAGATGGCCTGCAGGAAGACAGTAGTTCATTTGCTCTCATCAAATTACAATTAAAAGAGTGCAAGTGTTAAATAAGGCAGTGAGGTAAAACAAAAATAGACAGCAGTTCGTCATTTTCAAAAATAACATGTCTGTTTTCCAGACACTTATAACTTATTTATTTTATTCATTTTACTAGTAGGAGTGGTTTTGCAAAAAGAGGTAATGCCTGCAAAAATTAAAATCATTGCGCTATTTTTGAACAACAACATTAATAATAAAAAATCAAAGTAATCCGTACTGTCAGTAAGGGTGAGTAGGGTTTCCAGTACCCAGGCAAATAGCCTGACCTCTGGCAGCCACAAAGACCACATGCTAGTGGAGATGGTCTTTACGAACAGTGAGTGGGTTCATTAACGTCCCACAGATATTAAATGAGACGGGGCTTGTGAGACGCGACCTACAAACATCCTTATCCGATAAGACTAGAAAGTTGAACCGTTTGCAGATGACATTAGAAAGGTAGCATGTTCTCCCCAGTTGTTAATAAAGACCCTAGTTTTGGTCTGGCCAGGGGTAAATTTACTAAAACTTTTTCAAGTTATTTACAACAGTCATTCAAGGTACACACTTACCTCGTGACAAATGACCAACACGTTAGATTGTCTTTCCAATTCCTTGAAACAAAACGAATTTCGCTTAATGAGCTGGCAATCAATACAACTTTTAGCTTACTTTTTTTATTGTCTTTCTTAAGTCCAGTTAGTAGAATGGTCATCAAAATTACTTACGTGCTTTCCCTTACACAAGATTGTAAGCTTCACAGAGATCAAAAAAATTCCAATCACTATTTTGCAAGATGTTTATGAACGAACAGTCTCCTAGAAAGGTAGTGCTCTTAGAATGGCTGTATACAACAAATCCATGTAAAGTTTTACTAAACTAAGTTACTCACCATAATGATTGGTTCTAGACGAGCACAAACATCACTGTAAGACTGAAAAGAAAGAGTAAATATGATGTTATATATAGTTCAACGCATTAAATCTTATTTGATAATTAATGATATTAAAAAGAAAGAATAACAAATATGCAATAAATATTGAGGAATCAAGAAAATTAACTAATACAGTAAAAACCCGCGAGTAAGAACCTGTTAGCCCAAAATTTGCCATTTATACCCCCTATAAACAAGAACCTGTTTAGCCTGGAAAATGAAAAACAGGTTCTTATTTTCTAAAATCATATTAGTGAAATGCAGCTACAAAGCTGTTTGGAGAATTAGGAGCTTGGCATTGCGTGCAAATAAAAGTGCTAATTTATTGATATAATAAAACAAATAAAGTGCAACAGGTTAATATTGTTCTAGCCCATATTGAAAATGAAAAATAGGTTGATTACCATCTTGTTTTGTAGCTTGTTTTTTTTTATTTATTTTTTTTACAGAAATAAGAACCTATTTAAGAACCTAAATAGCCTAAAATTTGTTAACTACCATTTAAATAAGAACTTGTTTAGGCTAACTCCAAAAAATGTAGGTTCTTACTGGCGGGTTTTTACTGTACAATCACATCTGGGTACAGCTTATCGCGTCACAAACGCCCAAATAGACTGAAAAAGCCAGACAATCCCGAGGGCCAAACGAAGTCAGTTTGTAATATGCTACTTAAAATGAGCACGACTTTTTGCTCACTGATATAAGGAGGGGACAATTGTAGTAAGTAGATTACAGTGTACAGGGTCTTTCGAAGAGATTTTTAAATAAACTTTACAGTAGAATGCGTTCTTTTTAGACAGTATATTACCTCTCCTCTGGGATATCTGTAGTTAAAGGGGTGTTCCTCTAAAACCTTGTGTTCCTCAGGATCCATTTGTTTTATTTCGTCCAGTGTCATTCCATCGTAGATGCCCTCATGGAACACAAAAGAATATAACGAAATAAGACTTGACAAAAATGTATCCGGCGATAGGCTCTTTGTTTTGTCGTCGCGGAACTCCAAGTACATGCACTACACTGGAAACTTCAACTACACTATAGTGTTTCAAACTGTAAAGATAGAAAATACATTGTAGCTATAAAATGCTACAGCCCTAATTACAAACTGAGTAGCTTCCATTTATTACAAAATGTCTCAACGAAAAATGCCGCAACCCCTGTCCCAAAATGTGTAAGTAGTTATTAGGCTTCAGAGCTAAAGTCCTTATCATGATTGGCGAATCAGATCACTTTTTACCTTGTTTGCTTGGTTAGTGTTGATATTACTATAAAACTGAAATTATACGCCGATCATTATGTGGGCGCCTTTCAAGTCGACATGCTTTTGAAACGAAGCTCAAAAATGGGCACTCGTTTTGTTCGGCACAATCATAATTATGACAAGAAGTATGTTTAAAACGTTCTAATGCTACGCCTACAAAAACCACCAAAATTAAGAGCTCCCTGGTGAAATTTATTATGATACTTACTTCATATCTTTACAGAAGCACTTTGTAAGTAATGACTACCGCACAAAATTGATCTAAACATCCTCGTGACAGTTCGAGCGATAAATAGTCTCCTCGCAATAACTTGGTTTAGGGGTGAAGAGGTTAATCTATATAAATTGTAACTTACATGATCCATTTCATTGAGTGCTTTCCATCTTTCAACTGTCACCCCCTCAAGGAACTGTGCAGTATCTACTGCTCGCTTTAACTGACTTGTCCAAACCTAAAAAACCGACATACATCTTGACCTCTTTACATAGATATAACACTTCGTAAGGCTCCTGACTGTAGAATCATACAACTGTACATATCAGGTGGGTGTCAAAAAACAGGCACGATTATTAACTGGTTACCCTAAGAGCCGCGATTTGTGTTCTTTTGATCGAGGAGGAGAAAAGGACGTTCTGTCTAAATCTCGTGAAGCCTTTGAAGACACCGCATCCCGAACTTCTGCACAGACTTGTTTTTTGAGTGCATTAGCACTAGTCAAGGTGAATTATTGGCAGTGTGAAGTGGCCAATACCTAAGAGACGTTATTTTTCTTACCTTTAAATCCTTAATTTTCTCCTCCTTAATAAATCTTGCCAAAGCAAACGAAAACTACAGAAAGACAGAGAATACAGTCAGCAATTGCAACCAATTCGTCACCGTGCTTCGATGATAATAGCATAAAACATTATCCAAATTACTGAGAATGTTTCTTTTTTTTCAGTAGTGACTCAGGTGACTCAGAAAAGAGACATCTAATTTCTCCCAATGGGCGGGTCGAAAGTATGAGGGGACAAAGCCCTCCCTCTGAGCGGTAGTGGAGACTTGTTGGCGCGTTTGTCAAACGAACCCAGTTAAATGGGTCTGGCTCCTATGAGTCAGCTCCTCCAGCTCGATGGTAAAGCTAAATAGTACCCAGAGAATAACGTGGTGCTAAGTAATTACATGTCACCCGTTGCTGATAGGGTTAGAGTTTTAGTCAGGTTTTGTTAGCGGCATTATTTTCCAGTTTTCCGTTCTCCGTTCTACTAGGAAGTTAAAGTAACCCCGACAGCGACGTGGATGAAAACGTCACGCAAAAAGCGAATCCGCGAAATTTCAAGCTTAGTCACTCATATCCATCTCGTTCAGTTTTTTAATTTTTTTTTCTGGAGTTGAATTCTAAAGCACTGTATCTAAGTTCAGGAAAAGATAAAAACCACCGTTTTCTTAAGTTCACGTTTTTCCTAGTCTCCATGACTCCGGCCCGAGCGACTGCGAAGGAGACCAACGTCATCCATGAAACGTGAAATTAGGAAGCTGCGTGTCGTGGTCGTCCAACGACGGCAAAGAAATGTACAAAGAAGCGCGATGCACGTGTTCTCGTTGCCGTCGCTGTCGTGGCTCTCTTGTATTTGTCGTGATCGTGGTCGCGGTCGTGGTCGTGCAGTGACATGGAAAAACTTGATCAGATTTATCCATAACCATTAAAATATCCCGGAGAAAGTTTTCTTTGTCAACGACTAACTTATCAAAGAAATCTCACTGTTGTTTTGGCTTCTCGTTGCCGCTGTAATCATTGTCGTTAAACGAAAGTAAGCGATCTACTCTCTGGGCAAAAATACATACCTCTTCTCCCCTAACTGTCAGATCTGAATTCCCACCAAGTCTTTTCTGCACATTATAGTCACTCTCTCCATGCTTAAATTAAATGGGTTAAAAGTGATTCAGTTTATGACTGCAAACGCCACACAGTCCAGAGCGATTGTAATCATTTTAACACACACACAACATACCCGTGCAAGATATATTGATCTTTTCTTGTTGTGCGAGTTCATCAAAAAGTACACTGCTCTACTCTGCAGATAACCTGCAGTAAAGACGAGAATGAAAGTTAGTCAACTCAAATGTAGATTTCAATTCTCAATACAAAACAATACCTGAACATTAATCAGGGACTTTTCAATAGTTGGGGAAAAAAGTATTTTAGATATTCTGAGCTACTGAGTACTGTTGCTATTAGTGAAATCCAACTGGTTGGTCAAAAATATCGAGACAAAACAACTTAAGCTAGCAAAACGCGATTAATCCGCCATTGTTTTGGTTTTCAAAGCCAACGCTTTTCGCTACTAGTGGGCTATAACATATAGCCTAGTAGTAGCTTAACCAATCAGAACGCAGCAATGATACTGAATATACCACTAGTTGGATTAGTTTACTAATACTGGATATCCGGAGGTAGAGTAGCCAATCAGAGCTCACGAAAAACACTATCGACTGCTTTAGTATAATGCTAAATGAGTTTATCCTACAGCAAGCCACTTACCCCGTGTTTCCAGGCACTCCTTAATTCACGAGTTGAAAAAAATCGTTGAAAATTTACCATAAGAGGGTTTAAAACAATGTTCCATAATCGCCTCTCAAGGTCACGGTTTTACTGTCTCACAGACAATTCATACCCTCGATTTTTAGCGTAAAATTCTTAAGGGAAAAGGTGCGGCTTAAACGCGAGTTGTTACGGTACTGACTCATAAAACAAGACAACGTTTTTCAGCACAAAATGGACCATAAAGCTTTCGGGAGTTTAAGACTTAATAATTATATGCCCATTCCAAGAGGTAAAAACATACAGTGTTCTTAAGTCAAGTAGTATAGCCATACCGTCAATGTTGTTCACAAGAAATCGCTCCCCAGCATTGGTAATCTTGATAAAGGAAAGATTGCTGTTAAGTAACAAAACAAAAACACAGGAATCAACACAAAACACGGCATAGCTGAACAAAATTAATTGGCTTGTACGTGAGTATTAGAGAGTCCTAGTGTTAAATTTGATACTATATCTATTTATTGTTTACAAACAGAATGAGAAACAGCATCTTCAGAATAATACAAAGTAAACAGTTTTAACTTTAGTCGTTAATATAGAACTGTCCCTCGAAGAGGAAGTGAATAGTGGAGGATTGATGAGGAGACGCGAAGCGATCAATCAAGGAAAAAATACTGACTTGCTGCGGTTTCTACTTAATAAGTTGCCTTCAAAGAGAGCTGTGCACTTTTCACAGTTTGTCCATTATAAGCTGTACAGCAAAACTGACGTCTTTCGGACAAGAAGCACAGTAACTGCTTTTGATGGCCTAGTACTGAAGAATAGCTCTTGCACCAAAGAGTTTGAGTTGGCCACTTTGAATTAACCTGCGAGCTAGCCTGCGCCACAGACGGAACTAAACTTCTGGCTAAGGTCGTCTCCTCAACAGTGCCGAAAAAATACTTGTTCTGGGCCCACATCTGTGTACACTCCATGATTGGACTGTTTAAAATGCCATTGTCGATTTGCCAATAAGGTTGAAGGGAAACTCGAAACGCATTTGCGGTAATTTGTTGAGTCCCTTGAGGGGCCCAGAACAAGGACATATCAGCGCTGCTTTGCAGACGTTACTAACCGGGGGTTAGTATTGATTACGTCTGAGACGAAGGCTGAATGCGAGCTTTCAGGGGATATCATGAGAAGTCACGCACAAACACCAAGTGAAAAAAGACTTGAGCTTTGCCGTTTGCTAGCGTGTTTCCTCCCGGGTCACATCGCTCACCGCTCGAAATTCATAACTTGCTCACAGGCTAGCTTAGAATTAACAGTTCTGTATCCGGTCACCTCGCCACCAACGAAATCGCCACCAAGAAAAGGACTTAGCTTTCTTGTCTTAAGAAGTCCTAACTATACACAACAAATGAAGAACGTTCTTGAAAAAAATTTTTTCCAAGCCATTCCCTAATCATATTTCAAAGAAATAACAGGTGGTTGTGTGCCTTTCTGCAAGTTAGTGATTGTGTGGAAGGTAAATGTCAAACTTTACATTAACTGAACCTATTTTCAGCATTTGGAGTAAAGTTCGACACAAGGGTCATCAATAAAGGATCGACAGATTTGTATTTGGCTCGACTTCAAATTCGCATAGGCTTGACGAAAAAGTAAAAAATCCCAGATAAGTAATACTATGTAAACAAACTATTCGTTGGTGGCGAAGAGACTTCTTGGTGGCGAAGTGGTTTGATGGCGAGATGACTGTAAACCCAACTAACCCTTCCTTCTCAATGGACAGTTCTTCATAAGAATCTTCATAGTGCTTTATGCGTTCCCTGAAGTCTTCAATGGCTTTGTCTCTGTCCAAGTTCTCATAATCAGGGGTGAACTTTTTTACTCCTGATGGGGACCGAGGAGGGGATGCTGGTGAGTCCATCCAAGATTGCCATGACTTAAGCTCCTCATTGGTAAAAAATTCATGTCCCATTACCTGAGATTTCAAATCAGTTGATCAAGCAAGTCAATATTGATAACTTTAAGGGCAAAAAAAAAATTAGCAAACTCTTATTGACTTGAGTAACGTGCAACTATCAATGAACAAATAGTGAGAAAGGTAACATGGAAGCAGCAAAAGTAGAATGAAAGAGAGAAAGGAAATTAATATGAATGATTAATGATGGTGTGTTACATCAATTAGATCAACAGATCAAAAACAACACAACATTAAAAATATTCGTATTTAAGTGTGGACATTCGTATACAAGTTTGAACAAGTTTAGTTGCAAGCTTCTCTGTGACACAAGGTAAGTACAGTATTGTATGGGTTGTTTTGTATTTACACGCATGGCCCGAAAATATTCCTTCTAGTAGTATGGGAAAAGCAGACTATTCTTCAATGCAAGTAGCTTTTCATAACCACTTGCTCCCAGGCAAGTCTATTGTAACTAAAAAGCATGCAAGTGCCACAAACAAGCAAAATTTGAGGGATGCTTGATCAAAGTCCTTATTTTTTTAGAGGTCTGTACCCTGGTTAGTACCAGTCAAGCTAATTTAATTAAACGTTTTAAAAACATCTTCTAGTACTTCTTTCATAACTGAACTCACAACAAAACATTATTTCAATCAACCTTTCTTTCATTTTTTATCTTGATTTCCTTCAACACTGAGTTGCCATAAAAAAATTATTCTTGCAGCCATAAAAGCCATACACGTAATTATACAGATTTAAACCGAGATCACGTTCTATTTTCGTTTGGCTTTATTTTAAATGAAATTTCGGCAGGCAAGACCTCAAAAGAGAGTGTTTACGAGGCAAAGCTGCAAATAGCCATCAATCATTGGACAATGTCCTGCTAAAATTGGTCTACATGTACATGTATGTCTGTTGAAATCCAACCAGCAGTCGGTCATGACGACTAATGACAAATCAAATACTTAAGACTTTTATTTTTTTTATTAGCTGAAAATTTGCTGCAATTAAAGTAATAAAAAAGCCACATAATGTGTCCACCAACTTTTCTGATTTGATTTGATTGACCAAAAAAATTATATTTGCAGGACTGCTCAGAGTGCAGGAGCTGCTTAAATTGAGCCTGATCTCAGGTTGGTTAAGTACAAATGAACAAATGATACAGTGTACCTTGATGTTGGCAGCCACAATATCTGGATCAGTGCACATGGATTCCATAAAAAACACCTAAAGGAAGAATTCGAGTTTTCAGAGAATTTGCAAAATGTCTTCATGATAACAACATAGCTGACAATAATTAACCTTCACAAACTTCACAAAAGGTATATTAAAATATTAATATTAATTGAACAAAATACTTTGAGCAACAGAATATAAGTACTAGCAGTACTTACTAGTATAAAAAAAAGTACAGTAAAAGATTTAAAAGTTGTCATTTTTGGTCGTGGCTTCTCACATGACAGTGCCAAATTCATATGTACTTGAACAGTAACAATATTTGAACAATTGAAGGTTCTCTGAGGACAACTTTTTCCTATCTAGTCGCCAAGAAAAAACAAACTGAGATAAGGAATCATTTGGTTCACTATTAACGGTAAATGTAACCACGAATGGTTGTTCTTCATTCCTCAGAGCCATATATGGCAAAAGAAAAAGTAAAATTATGCACAGTACATATATACTTTTTGTTTTCGGGTATCTCAAGCACTCTCTTGATCTATTGTGACTCAAAAGAAAAATAGGAGACTGCTCGATCTCACAGTCTATTTTATGCCAGAAGCTTAAATTTAAAATAGTCATCATGAAACCCGCAATAAGCCAAATCAAAATTATTTGAATTGAGGTCAAACTAAATTAATTTAGGCCAGCTGAATTGATTCAGATGTCAATCTTTATTCCAGGCGAACTTAATTCAAAAGGGCCAAAATGCAAATTACAGTATAATACATTACAAAAAATTTATGCATTGTATCATTCCAGACCCCCATCCCCCCAGCTCCACTCAAGGGTGGTGCAAGGAAATTCCAAATTTCAGTTAACTCTAGTAAACCCTTATCCTGAATCAATGGCAATCAACAGCTGTTATTCATGGCTGAGCCAATCCAAATTCAATTGGCCATTTTAAATTGATTCAGAACCTGTACTTCACATGAACTTAATTCATTCATGCTGCTAACAAATTCATAATTATGCAGTGACTTTGACCCCGATGTGTTTCTTAGTTTCTCAGTATTAACTAATATTCTGAAATGCTGCTAATAGTACCAGTACATTGTACCTTGAATCCTCGGTTTGTACAGAATTCCAAGATGAGCCCCCTTCTTTCCATTGTTATGTTTGTGGCATCAAATATCTGTACAAAAAAATAATAACGATAATAACACAATTAATTTATTGTGTAAACATAAAAATTTATTATTTCTTTATTGTTTTGTTTACCAAAAATTGTACAAATCAAATAAAATCTAACTACTTAAACTCTCATGGCGAGGAAGCCCAAGAGAAGCCACCGGGCTTATAAGGAATGGGCTCCCTCAGTTAGATAATTAGAACAAAGTATTATCATAATTACACATTGGAAAATCAATGGCAGAGCTAAATCTTAAAATAAGTATATTAGATAGTCGTACTAATCATAGTTCTAGGCTAAAAAAAGCGAAATGACAAAAAGAAAAAAACAAACAAAAGAAAATAAAAGAGCAAAGAAGAAAAAAAATACATATATATATATATATATATATATAAATTACTATTTATGATAAGAGGAATGCTTTCAGCTTACAGCAAAAGGAAGCGGTACTTGTTGCATTTCAGATCATAAAGAAGTAAAAGTACAAGTATGATATGATGGGTTATTGATGAAAATGATTATTATTTTATCCTTGGTTCAATGTTAACAGAAAAAACTTTATTGAGCTACATGTGACTTGAAAAGTAATTCAAGAAAGACATTGTTCATTACAGAGAAAAAATAATATGAACAACCCATAAAAACCACGGCATTTTGTTCATATTTTACTTTTTAAATGGACACAGTCAGCTTTGGGACAGCACTGACCTGGCACTACTGTATTTCCCTGAAGCTCTTGAAATATTCCACAGCAGAATTAAATTAATTATATTATATTAAAGCCTTGAAAAAAGTACAATGTACAATGTCCCTGGCTACTCTGATCATGACCTTCTTTGATACACATGTAGCAAACAAAAGGAAAGTAGAACCAAATTCCTACATGTCTCAGCCGCTCAAGTGACTCCCTGCCTTAACTCTAAATCCCATATTATATCAGCAACTTAACTGAAATCTTAGCAACAGCCCTGTTAGTATCTTCTTACATGTATACATGTAGATGTCCTAAGAGTTCACAAAGCTCTGAAAAGTGGTATTTTTCAGGAGCAAAAAAATATCCTGAAGTCTATTTCCAAAAATTCCCAATATTATTTTACCACAAACTTCAACTTACAGCTACTTGTCCTCCTCGAGTTAAGAACTTACTGACATCTTCCAAGCAGGCTATAGCACACCTCCTGTATAAATACAAAAAAAAAACAACAATGAAAATAAAAATATTACAATTACAATACCTACTATTAACAACTACGTTGCTTAATTGAGGGAGGTGCCCAGGACAGCCAGGGGCTTCCACTTTTGGCAAAGCCAGCCCTTAGACAGAGCTATGCCCCTATGGATGGTAGGCTGGTAAACCCACGCCTCCTAGCCATCAGCCCCCACACCCACGGAACCAGGCACCCGTCACACTGATTTATTGGTAGAAAAAATAAAGAAAGAGAGGGATTGGGGTAAAAGAATGATCCAAAGGCTAAACAAAGAGAGTGGCTTCAAGGAAACGCTGTACTAAGTACATGGAGATGATGCAAGCAAGGCTGACCGTGCTTGAACCACCACGCTGACTGATGCCTGTGCTCCTTGTTGTTAGCTGTAATTAATATTATTTTATTTTACCACATTAATTTTAAAAAATTAATTTTGAATGATGCTAATCACTTTGAACAACTCTTTTTTACAATAAATTAGATGTACATTACTTTGTAAATTAGATGTAAATGTAGTTGACATAACTAGTTAATATTTAGACCACACGAGAGAAACACATTTTAAGTGCATTTTAGTTGGACAGGTTACTTACTTTCTTATTTCATAGGCTTCAGTGTTTTCCACTCTGAAAAAATCATGCAGTTTATCAGGCCCAACGAATCTCCTGCGGTACTCACCAACATTAAAAACTACAAAACAAAGGAAAAGGCGTTGGGTTAAGTAGAGCTATTTCCAAACGATTGGGACCTTAGATCTGAGAACAGCAATGGCAGTCTGAAAACATCCACTTAGAAGTGATTTGGGGTTGTTTAAATCTTCATAGAGATTATTCCAACTTAAACACTTTGTCAAACAAAGGTGAACTCTCTTGAAGTTGAATTCCCAAGAACTATAGCCAAGTTCAGAAAGCAAAAGAAAATTTTGTTATGGCTTGTTTACATCCTCCATTAAATGCGAAATTAGGCATTAATTTTCATGTTGTAGTCGTGCAGAGAAGGGAAAGAAATGTACAAAAAAGTGTGATGCACGTGCAGAGTTGCTGTTTTGCTAAATGAATCAAACCTATTGCTTTTTTGACATTCTTGCCGCCATCACAGTTGTCAGATCTTAAGGTCCCTAATTTACACACCCATTCACCCCTACGGGGTTGCTGTTCTGAAATGTGTCAGTGAATAAGGAGTTTGTGGAGTTTAACTTACCTTTTGTTTTGATGCCTATCCAGTTGAGGTAACGGCCCAGTTTTTTTGCCATATATGTCTTGCCTCTAGCTGGCAGCCCAACCAATGTGATGACTGTTGGTGCATTGACAAAGCGAGGATAGTATCCAGGATAGCACGTGTCTATAGATAAAGGAGGATGAAAACATCAGCTATTAAACCTCTTAATACTGGCTAAAACGGTGAACACAGTTTTTGTACATGTAACTATGTAATGACTAGTGTTGTATTTTATTCAATTAAGTGCCCCAGGTGCTAAAAAAAAATAAATTTTTGGACCTTGAGAGTGGCGCTTATTTGAGGCTGGGTGTTTATTAAATTTTCACAATTTTCTTAATAGCAGACAAAAATTTGATTCGCAACAGAAGGAACAGTATCCCATTCTGCGCATGTACCAAACTTTGACTTTCTGACAGAATTTTGCGAATTCAAAAGATGTGAGGAGAGCAAGAGAACCTTGAAAAATCCACTTGCATTGTGCATGGCTGAGTTTGATACTTCTATGAAACAAACCATTGAGACACGGATGTGACTGAGGAGATCTTGTGGAAGCTTCATGAAGCACGATGTGTTGCAACGACATGTTAGTTATCAATTTGTCAAGAAATTGAGTGAAACAAACAATTTTGATTTTTGATATTTTCTGTCCAAATTACTGTGGAATGACCCAATAAGTACATTAGATAGTGGTACTAATCATAGTTCTAGGCTAAAAAAAGCGAAATGACAAAAAGAAAAAAACAAACAAAAGAAAATAAAAGAGCAAAGAAGAAAAAAAAATACATATATATATATATATATATATATAAATTACTATTTATGATAAGAGGAATGCTTTCAGCTTACAGCAAAAGGAAGCGGTACTTGTTGCATTTCAGATCATAAAGAAGTAAAAGTACAAGTATGATATGATGGGTTATTGATGAAAATGATTATTATTTTATCCTTGGTTCAATGTTAACAGAAAAAACTTTATTGAGCTACATGTGACTTGAAAAGTAATTCAAGAAAGACATTGTTCATTACAGAGAAAAAATAATATGAACAACCCATAAAAACCACGGCATTTTGTTCATATTTTACTTTTTAAATGGACACAGTCAGCTTTGGGACAGCACTGACCTGGCACTACTGTATTTCCCTGAAGCTCTTGAAATATTCCACAGCAGAATTAAATTAATTATATTATATTAAAGCCTTGAAAAAAGTACAATGTACAATGTCCCTGGCTACTCTGATCATGACCTTCTTTGATACACATGTAGCAAACAAAAGGAAAGTAGAACCAAATTCCTACATGTCTCAGCCGCTCAAGTGACTCCCTGCCTTAACTCTAAATCCCATATTATATCAGCAACTTAACTGAAATCTTAGCAACAGCCCTGTTAGTATCTTCTTACATGTATACATGTAGATGTCCTAAGAGTTCACAAAGCTCTGAAAAGTGGTACTTTTCAGGAGCAAAAAAATAGCCTGAAGTCTATTTCCAAAAATTCCCAATATTATTTTACCACAAACTTCAACTTACAGCTACTTGTCCTCCTCGAGTTAAGAACTTACTGACATCTTCCAAGCAGGCTATAGCACACCTCCTGTATAAATACAAAAAAAAAACAACAATGAAAATAAAAATATTACAATTACAATACCTACTATTAACAACTACGTTGCTTAATTGAGGGAGGTGCCCAGGACAGCCAGGGGCTTCCACTTTTGGCAAAGCCAGCCCTTAGACAGAGCTATGCCCCTATGGATGGTAGGCTGGTAAACCCACGCCTCCTAGCCATCAGCCCCCACACCCACGGAACCAGGCACCCGTCACACTGATTTATTGGTAGAAAAAATAAAGAAAGAGAGGGATTGGGGTAAAAGAATGATCCAAAGGCTAAACAAAGAGAGTGGCTTCAAGGAAACGCTGTACTAAGTACATGGAGATGATGCAAGCAAGGCTGACCGTGCTTGAACCACCACGCTGACTGATGCCTGTGCTCCTTGTTGTTAGCTGTAATTAATATTATTTTATTTTACCACATTAATTTTAAAAAATTAATTTTGAATGATGCTAATCACTTTGAACAACTCTTTTTTACAATAAATTAGATGTACATTACTTTGTAAATTAGATGTAAATGTAGTTGACATAACTAGTTAATATTTAGACCACACGAGAGAAACACATTTTAAGTGCATTTTAGTTGGACAGGTTACTTACTTTCTTATTTCATAGGCTTCAGTGTTTTCCACTCTGAAAAAATCATGCAGTTTATCAGGCCCAACGAATCTCCTGCGGTACTCACCAACATTAAAAACTACAAAACAAAGGAAAAGGCGTTGGGTTAAGTAGAGCTATTTCCAAACGATTGGGACCTTAGATCTGAGAACAGCAATGGCAGTCTGAAAACATCCACTTAGAAGTGATTTGGGGTTGTTTAAATCTTCATAGAGATTATTCCAACTTAAACACTTTGTCAAACAAAGGTGAACTCTCTTGAAGTTGAATTCCCAAGAACTATAGCCAAGTTCAGAAAGCAAAAGAAAATTTTGTTATGGCTTGTTTACATCCTCCATTAAATGCGAAATTAGGCATTAATTTTCATGTTGTAGTCGTGCAGAGAAGGGAAAGAAATGTACAAAAAAGTGTGATGCACGTGCAGAGTTGCTGTTTTGCTAAATGAATCAAACCTATTGCTTTTTTGACATTCTTGCCGCCATCACAGTTGTCAGATCTTAAGGTCCCTAATTTACACACCCATTCACCCCTACGGGGTTGCTGTTCTGAAATGTGTCAGTGAATAAGGAGTTTGTGGAGTTTAACTTACCTTTTGTTTTGATGCCTATCCAGTTGAGGTAACGGCCCAGTTTTTTTGCCATATATGTCTTGCCTCTAGCTGGCAGCCCAACCAATGTGATGACTGTTGGTGCATTGACAAAGCGAGGATAGTATCCAGGATAGCACGTGTCTATAGATAAAGGAGGATGAAAACATCAGCTATTAAACCTCTTAATACTGGCTAAAACGGTGAACACAGTTTTTGTACATGTAACTATGTAATGACTAGTGTTGTATTTTATTCAATTAAGTGCCCCAGGTGCTAAAAAAAAATAAATTTTTGGACCTTGAGAGTGGCGCTTATTTGAGGCTGGGTGTTTATTAAATTTTCACAATTTTCTTAATAGCAGACAAAAATTTGATTCGCAACAGAAGGAACAGTATCCCATTCTGCGCATGTACCAAACTTTGACTTTCTGACAGAATTTTGCGAATTCAAAAGATGTGAGGAGAGCAAGAGAACCTTGAAAAATCCACTTGCATTGTGCATGGCTGAGTTTGATACTTCTATGAAACAAACCATTGAGACACGGATGTGACTGAGGAGATCTTGTGGAAGCTTCATGAAGCACGATGTGTTGCAACGACATGTTAGTTAACTTAAAGTTAAATCTGCTTACCGCCGACAAATCAAACAACAGGCACTCAGTGTTTGCCATGTGCTTTGCCATGCTTCTTAACGTTGAGATTGTATTTTTATTAATGTCTTTCGAACTTTTGAAGCTAGAATGCAAGCAGATATTGCTGGACTTGGACTTGCCACAAATTGACCTCTGACACGACTTTGACACCCAAAAAGCTGTAAACTGAGTGGAACGAGCTTTTTAGGGCGCAAGGTGGCCGAGCTAGCTCAACAAAATCGCAAGATGTCTTTGTGCCACAAGCAAAATTTTTAAATAAGATGAAAGACGTCTACGAAAGACAAAAATATACTTGAGAATGTAAACAACAAATCTTTGTCGAGGTGTGGTCCGGAACGAAATCTTGTCAAGTCAACATGATCCAGTTCTATTGTCTTTTGAAGAAAAAACAGATGACGCTCGCACATGTGCATAACACTAGCTGTCCCTTTAATCAAATATTAAAATACATGTATGCCACTGTATTTTATTTGTTTATTTTTTTGCATTTCCTGAACAGAAAAAAAATCCTTATCTAAAAAGAAGTATTCATTACCTTACATCTTCGACCCAATGATGATCGCCTTCATTGTATAGTAATAATATTATCAATGCTATGCAGGAAGATCAATACAAGTCAAAATTTAACTAACAAGCTAGAGCTGAGGAACTGCCAACATAAAATTCTTTGATCTCTATTAATCAAACTCCCTTACTAGTCCTGTGTCACCTACATGCATGTATTGATACATATACATGTAAATGTACCAATGAGAGGCTTATTAAATTAGCTCTCTCTTATAAAAAGGAGTTCTTTGTTTCAGTGGCTGGCACATTAAATTTGAATGACAAAACAAAGTTTTCAAACATAAACTACAAAATTAACATACATGTATCACTATATTCTAATAATGAGAGCAATTAAAGCAGCAAAAAGAATTAACAAAATGATCATGAAATTTAAAGGCATTAAAGCAAACCTCAGGCAACAAAACAATATCATTCTATTTAAGATGCCAAGTGAAAATATCAAAATGAAATGCAAGCACTGGCTAGACTAGTACAGTGAGCATTTAACCAGGAAACTTGTAGCAACACAAACATAAAACACCATCATAAAACTGTACAGACAATTCTCTTCAAAGTAAATTCACTGCAATGTGTTACAAAGTTTATGCTAATTTGCATATATATTTTTTAAATTATTCACTCTCTCTCTTTACTCTACTTCCTGATTATACTTGTATTATATGGTAGTATTTTCTTGATCTCCATCTACTGTAGTATTAACTACAGCTGTACATGTAAAGAGCATCACTGTAAGACTGGGGAGACCTTTAAAATTCACACTTGACAAATCTTACTACATTATTCAAATTTGCTCACAATTCACTGCATCTAAGAATAAATTGTACAGAAAAACTATATATTTATACAACAACACAATGATCTCAGTAATAGTAAAAGATTACAAAGTTGCATGACCTACAGCTGTATATACATGTATATGTATAAATGTATAAAATCTGGTTCTTCCATATCATCCAATTTTAGGGTTAAGTTCTCAAAGACAAAACAAAACCTGATCACAGAACCCGGACAATAATGTAGCAAAATACAAGCAAATCAAGAAAGACATAAAGACACAAAAACACAAAAAAATTCTGCAAACCAAAGAATAGCAATAGAATAGAAATGATTTTATATTCTTCACCCTTTACTGAAATTGCACTGTTTGGCAGTGTCATTTATCTCAGCACCTCGTAGACAATCATTTTTTTAAATCTTAATTCACTATCATTCATTAGTTAGACATGTAAAACATAGAATGGACATTAACATTATCATTATAATTCAACTATATACCCAACCTTCGTTAGGGTAAACCACATCATGGGTGAATGTCTCCATACTGAAGCAAGCTAAGCTGAAGCTGATGAAATCTGTAATGTAGAGCAATATTCTTTCCTTGACTGTAAACCTATAAACTAACATTTCAGTCATGAAGCCTAGGATACATGAATATTATCAATTGCTTAAATAGGGGGTGTGTTTTCAATGCAAATTTGCATCTTCATTCATGTATGTTAAAATGCATTTATAATTATCCTAACAAAAGTTGTTGAACAATTGATGCCAAATACTTTTTGATCTGCTTTACCATGTACTCTGGTTCCATGTTTTGTAAACTCTGTGCCCTAATATTTTATTATACAATTTGTCAGTCATTTAATCAAACTGCAAAACTTTCCTTGTCAGCAGTACACTCAACATTATGGTGAAATTGATCAACAAAGTGCTTACAAAAATACATGATGCATAAAAATTACAACCAATATCAGGATTGGTACTCTTAGAAACAGAGTATTTCCTTGACCTAAAGCTGTAACTCAATATACAAGACTAAAACTCAAATTGAGTGATTCAACAAACATAACAAGCTTACCAATACTCTTATACTAGGCATGTTTATACTGGTTTGAAACTTTTGCTAAATTACCCAGTTGAACCCGACCGAACAAGACAGTGTCAGTGTATCAGACATAATAGATTCACTGTCATAGGGCAAAGTCTGCAATGTCAAACAGGGAAGACCATGAACAAGATTCATTCAAGGAAAAAGCAGTACATGATGACTGGTCATTCAATCCCAGTACTACAGAAATCTAGATCTTTGGGAGTATCCAGTTATAAGTTCTACAGATAGCAGCACAAGGATCTACAACCATCTTGCATTGTATCCAGAGTTTGACCATCTCAAACTTAACTCATGAGACTTGCTTACCAAAAGGGTTCAAGGTACATGTTAAGTTTAAAGTACACAAAGTTCAGTAAACATGCATGAGGCATTAAAGACCACAGTGTATTAAAGAACAGATTGCAAAATGATTTCTACAAATGTAATGTTTGGCCTGGAAATTTTTGAAAATTCAAAAGTTCCATTTTTGCTAGCTCATCATATTTAACAAAATATTGAGTAAGTAAATTAAATAAATTTGAATATTTATACATTATGAAAACATAGATGAGCAGGAAAAGCAGTTATCTTTAATGTACATGTATAATTTAGAGGTATGATAAGAAAAATAATATATAATATAATGATATCACACATGACATCATTATTGTGCACGTATTCCAATTTGTACATAAGCACAGTGTGTATATAAATTCTAAATACATATTGTATATTAAAATACCCCCCTAAAATAGTCTCCACAATGATATAAAAAAAATTATCATTCTATAGATTGAATATAATGTTCTTAGGGTTTAAAAAAATAATCTTCTCGCTGGTAGTATGTGTAAGTCTCAATAGTTAAAAAGAAAAAGTTTTTTATAACATGTATTGCAAGAATTTGGTTCCCTTTCTAACCTAAAACGTTCAAAAAACCCTTTATTATTTTCAAAATGACTAGTATAGCCACCCAGTTCTGATTTTTGGAAAGTGCCCTACCTACATGTAGCAAGTTTATAATCAGAGGAATTACATGAAATTCGTTGTATCGTGCTGTGCGTTTTGCAAAATTCGAAGGAATTTGTGGTTTTTCTGTTCCATCAATCATATCGGACCTCTCAGGAAACATACGTTTACTTGCACGAATTCAAAAGGTCCTGGTTTGTGCTTTGTGATTGCTGGGTTTTGATCTGTTTTGTTAATTTCATGTTTCAAGGTTCGTTGCTTGTGAGCGACCTGTTTTGGGCAATAATTTGCTTCGCAGACTTTTCTGACCTTTCTTGTTCTTGTCAGTTGCAAGAATAAAGCAACATCTGCCTCCTTCCTTTGACAAAAATCCACTCTTCATACCAATTTCCTTCCCTATTCTTAAGCAGTCTAGAGTCATTCTCAGTAAAATTGGGTGAGCACATTACATTGTGATTGCATTAACCCCACCCTCACTCAAATGATTGACAGAACAGAAAAACCCAAAATCCTTTCAAAGGTTGCAATACACGCAGCACGATGCAGTCAAACTTGTTGATTTTTTTCCCACTAGAGATTTAGCTGCTGATCGTACTATTGGCATGTCTGAAATAGTGAGCTGTTTGCAAAACACGAGTTAGCTGTAGTTTCAGAGTTACAACAACAAAAAAATTTCAAGAGCAAAACCAGTGGAGCTTAATTCTAGATTAAAAAATTAATAATAAAACAATGTTTTGTTTCCTTATTTCTTTGGTATGTTTTTATAATGAATGGATATTTTCCTTTCCCTATTGGCTTATTTCCCTTTCTTCTTACTTCTGGCTCTTGGCCTCTGCTTCGCGAAGCTCTGCAATACTTCAAGTAACTAATACGTTAATTATCCTCTTCCCTTATATTGCACAGAGCTTTCAGGGATAATGAAACAAATAATTTAAGGTATTAGATCTGCTAAAAACCTGTTCATTTCAAAAATTTATTCCTCAAATAATAAAGAATTTTCCAAAATAAAAATTACACAAGTCTATCAAGTGTGACCTCAGCTTTCAGAAAATTGATATCAGAGGTGTCAATTTTCACACCTAAGGTGTGATTCCTGATTTATATTGCAGGCTCAAAAAATCAAGAATTGCATTTTTTTCCAGCTTTCCCTCAAAAACTAGGAATAAAAAGAAATTGGAACTGATTTATACTTAGATTGTTAATTTACCTTTAAATTCCCGGCATTGTTTGTCAATTGTTCCTGGAGATATAGAGGTGGGATTTTTTTTGCAATGCTATGGAACTTCAGGCAGTTGCCAAAAATTCCAAAATGCTCCCTTACTGCCAGGAATCTAAGACATTTTTCCTTAGCATTATTTATTTTAAGTTTCAGTGCGGTATTATACATCCTTATATTTTTACATCAATTTGTTTTCAGTGCACTCTAACACAGCCGCAAAATTCCCCACTACGCTGTTTTCTTTGTTGCCATCTTGAATTTTTACAAGAAAACCTCTGTTCCTAACCCAATTGTAGCATGGAACGTGGCAAGAAAATGCAAAAATCTTTGTCTGAACTTGTTTCATAATGTGCTCTCAGTATGGCATCGTAAACAATGTTTTAGCCTTAATTAATTTGAATAATACGTCATTTAACAGGGGCCTTATCTGTCACCAACCTTGTAAGGATCATATATCCAATATGTCTCTAGAAAGCTTTTTGGAGCCATAATGATTAAGAAAGATCAAAACAATCGTACTTTATTTGGGAAAGCAGAATGTAAGCAAATTTTGCAATAATTCAACCTAGTTTACTTCAAACTTATAGCGCAATATCATGTGTCTGGTTGTGAAAATTGTAACAGTTCTGTCAACAAAGGGAACCATCACGTCAGATTAATTAATTTCCCAAAATAGCACTCTTAGATACCAATTTCGGCCTTAATTTTCTCACCTGCTAATGAACGAAAATGCTTCATTTTTGGAATTTGCATTCGTGTTAAGAGCACATTTCAAATAAGTGATTTTATAAGCATCATCAATTTTTGACTTTAAAGCAGGTCTAATACCTAAAATGGAACATAACATTACATAGTTAAAAATTCCAACAGGTAGGAGGCGAACCAGTTGGCTATTTTACAAGCATGGCAATGCAATGATTTGAGCTCTGGACTACCAAGAACAAATCCAGCTAGTGGTCAGTGCAGGACTTCAACTCGGGGCCTCCTGAATCATTACAAGGTCCAGCACTCTGGACCACAGGCCATGCTGCCTCCCTCAAATGTCAGTTTACATCAGAACCACTCTGAAGATCCCCATGCAGCTGATATGATTTCTATTACAACACTATATTTATCAACTTTTCTCGTTACACTTTAACTTATTAGGAATCTAATCCAGACCTAGAAAATGATTATGCATCAGGATTTACTTTAAAAACTTGAGCTTTACTATTTTAGCTCACTTTGAGAAATCAACCTCGTTTAATTGTCTTTTCTCTTATAAACAAAATCCCTTAAAGCACATGCCACAAGGGTTAAATCTATGTCAATCACGCGCGCTTATGAAACGAAAGCGCGAAAACAGCACAAACATCCTGACTCACCTACTCTGTACTTATAATCCGAGGGATAAATGACGCCCTTCTTCTCCCTTAAAACAAAAACTTCTTGATTTTTATGTTCCCTATCTTCGTGGTCAGCTAACAAGTCCATATCATGATCATCAAGTTCTGAATCTACGCTTACAGAATGAAGTGAAAATGGAGGTTTCATATCATCGACGTCCGCCATCTTTGATAACATCTACCTAATCCCCAGGTCTTCGCGGTCTTGAGAAGAGCGGCTAAAGCAAAAAATGCCTCTGTTTGTGGTGGGTCGGTGAAGGGGTCGGTGTCATGCAGAGATGGGAAGAAACGCCTGCGCCCGAGGTGGGGAGGCGGGGAGGGGACTCTCTATAATGGCTTATACGGGGAAGCTCCGCCCAAAAGGGATACCTTTTCAGTCATCATCAACATCATCATAACGATTATTCCTCGAGCCCTCATGGGCTCTGAGTCAATAGCCCATGAGGCCGAGCCAGTAGCCGATCCAGGGTGTAGCGCCGGCTTTTTGGCAGCAAAAAAGGATTAAAGTCTAGCTTTAACTACCAAAAGTTGTTTTCTCTCGATATTTTTGACCGCAACTGGTTGGATTTTACTAAAACAATTATTCCTCTCGCCTTCACAGGCTCTTAGTCAATAGCTCATTTGGCCTTCGGCCTCATGGGTTATTGACTCAGAGGAGAGCCCATTCGGGCTCGAGGAAGAATTGTTAAATATCTTAAAATGTTACAAAATAATAACAGTAATAGCACTTACAAAAATGAATGTTAAAATAAATAAATATTTAAGCCATAGAAAACGTTTTCCGTGTTTGCATAGCCTGATATAAACACGAGAGGAGTTGGGAGAATTCGAGACAGTTATGCAAACCCGAGACGAAGTCGAGGGTTTGCATAACCGTCAACTTAGCGAAGAAAAATTGACTCACCTTCTTTGTAACGATTTTCCATGTTTCAGCCGAAGAAAGAATGGGTAAATAAAGTAAACTTGTCGAGTTTTGAACTCGACAACTTTTTCAAATTCGCGCTTGCGTGATTAGCGCGCGAAAAGCCAAACAACTTGACGCCACAACCGTGTTTACAAAAGTTTACATACTCTCATGCAAACATTCCTCTCGGCCAATCAGAGCGCGCGTACTATCTTAGTTACTTTATAAAATTAATTTATAAATTAAGGTTTATACACCATCCCAGCCTTGTGAATTTGAGTTTGAAGGTTTTGCCAACCCAAGTCATTTAAAAGTATATTCGCATCTGCATCATAATTGGAGTTAGGCTTCAGGTAAATGAAAGAGTAGCGATTTTACTAAATGAAGTATATGAAAGGGATGGAAAATCTGTCATTTCAGTCTGTAAAAGGACCAATTTTTTGTAATGGCATGGGGTTAAGAGATGCATTTCATGGCTGAGAAAAAGTCGAGAAAACGTTGTTGTGGTTGTGTGATTTATTCATATTTTAAAAACAGTGCAAAGGAGTTAAAGAGACTGTGAAACTTTGAAACTAGGTATGTGAAATGATTGGTTACCATTTGTCCGATACAAGCATACAAAAGGGGTAACTGTTCTTTCAAAAACGGTGCATTAAAGGGTACAAAGAGGTTGGACCTTGGGGCAAAAAGGGGCGGAGCGTCCCCGTACCTCTCTCCCAGGCGGCTGCGAAGGACACCATATGGTCGGGGATAATGCCACAGCCCAAGCATTTTTCTTAGGAAAAAATAACAGGTTCGGAAGGGACTGACAAATCAACTAAGAAAGTAAGTAAGCAAGCGACTTTATTTTACAAGGGTAGTAACACTTGACAGTGACTACAATTTAATACTGATGAACTTGTGGCCCTCTAAAAACAAAAATACAATGGAATAAACCTACATACAATGTATACATGTACACTAGCAATAGTTTGGAGTTTGGTATCTTTGAAGCCCTGTGCACAAGCTAGAGATCGAACGACAGAGAGCTATCAGTACTATATGGCGTTATTAAGACGGAGTTTTGTCTTAATCTTATAATTGCTAACTCCTATCCTCACCTAAAATTCTCGCTAAGTGGCTGATTCCAGTTCCAAGTCAAGGATGTGTTTTAGTATGACGAAATCCCGCGCGGTGAGGATGATATTAAAATATCCAGTAATCAGCCCTCTCTATAAGCAATAAGAAGACTCTTAAAAATACGGCATTCATAAGTGTACTTTTAATATACGGCCATATGTTTTGCCCAAAATTGGAAAAAGTTTTAATTCCAAAGCTTCGAGAAATGCTAAGTAATCAATTTGAAGAGGGACTCACATCTATTTGAAACTAAAATTTTCAGCAAAAACTATTCTTCCGTAAATTAAAGTACTCAAATTTAGCACTGAAAACGACCTCAACTAAGGAATTGGCCGTTTTTATGCTAGAGACGTTAAAGTCGTCTGAGACGTTAAAATCGTCTTAAGTTGACCTTAACGTCAAGTATAAAAACGGTAGATAATGCAGACGACTTTAACGTCTTCTGTTAAGTGCGTCCGAACGACGCACTCAACAGACGACTTTAACGTCTCAGACGTGGAAGTCGTCTGGTATAAAGACGGGACGTCGTAAACTAGGACGCATTTATGCTCGACTGGTCCAGAGAATTTCATTTTTGGCGCCGCTTTAACTCGTGTCCAGTGTCTTCCGAGAGTACAGCCTAGTCCTTTTTTCAAAAAAATCTACTTTTTTAAATAAGGTCGTCTACTTTTGTGCGTCCCATTTTTACACTAGACGACTTTAACGTCTCAGACGTTAAATGCTTCTAGACGACTTTAACGTCTCTAGCATAAAAACGGCCATTGTGTATTGTAACCGAAGAGACGAGACCGTCTTTCGCGAAAACAGATCGATGACCAGTCCAACACTCAGGGTTTTTGAAATAACTAAGGAGAAAATTCTGCCTTTGTAAAGATAATGGCAAAGGGTTAGACTTTCGAGGCCCTGTCGGGGGGTCGGGGGGGGGGAATTGTTATCCCTTATTCCTTTAACTCTTAGAACAGATATCTCTTATCTTTAAAAGTTCTAAGAATGCTATCCCTAAAAGTCAGGGGCCGCGGCGTGGGGAGGGGAGGGGAGGGGAACATAAACCGTACAATAGACGAAGGTAGACACCATGTTCAGCGGTCATGTAGCTCGATAGTTGCGTTGATGAGAACTAGTCAACGGTCAAAAAACATGGCATCGGGCGTGAAGAAAAACTACATTGAGTGTTCTACGTGTAAGAAGAACAAAGAACAAAGAAAGAGGATAAAAAAATCCCCATCCAGTTGCAAGAGCCGTGATCGGAAGTCTGATATTTACTATGTCTAAATTTTCATGTCGTTACGATGAGACCGATAAATTTTGAAAGTCTCCAAAAAACGAACTCTTTTACTGTCTGCTCACATATATTTTATAAACATACACCTATTTCAATAAAGGTCGCTCCCGTGAACTCATTCATAGACTGCAGTGCACTATGGTAAATCCTTTTGTCGCGGGAAGTTTAGTCTTGTTCACTTTCACTGAAATAATGGAGACCATTTGTGAAAAGGCGTTCAAGAGAGCTTTTAAGTCAAATGGCTGCTAAATCTTAAGCATAGGCGAGCTGAAAAATTGCATTTGTAAAATCTCATAGTAAAAAATTAGAAGCCTCTTATTTTACGCCTGATTAAGCTGCGTTTTTGCATGGGCTAGAATGCTGGTTATTTCAGTAAAGCAAATCAACGCTATTCTTTTGTTTATTCAGTTTTCAAAAAATTGCCTCAAAAATAGATAAACACTTATTGTTTAAGTTGTTCAACAAACACCTTGAATTTTATTTTTTTTAACTCCATCCAAAATTCCCATGTGCACGACGCAAGCACACTCGTTGAAAATTTGCAGCATTTGCATATTACCGCAGAGAAAAGCCTAACCTCTAATCACTGTCTTAAATTAAAAAGCCTAGGATTCAGTGTTTTGAAAAACACTGTCTTAACGTTCTGCTGACGTAGCATAGAAGCGTTAGCAGCGTTTGTTTTCTAAGCTTTCCCGGCTCGTTGCCGGCACATAATTTACTAGACTTGCCGCAATAATGCACCGCGGGCTATAAAACATGGATCATGCATCATTCTTCTCTGAAGCAACCTTAATTGAAATAGCTGTATACATTTAGTTTTACCCCATTCATATCTTTAAAACATATTTAAGCAGACCAAGTTTATCAAAATAAAATTTATCAACAGAGACCTGAATGATTGGCTTCTACAATTAAGTTCAAGTGAGCTGTACTCACTTGTGGTTTTAAATTGTAGTGGAAATAGAGACAAAAAATATATTTTTAAACCACCTTTAACTTGTAATAAACATACTTGTCCCCGAAGAGTAAACGCGCGCTCGACGAACTAGAACTAAGATTTCATTGATCCCCCGGCCCGGCGGCCCCATGAAAACCACATCCTGTTCCGCTTAGGTCCAATAAAGGTGTGTCCCCCGGCCCAGGGTGGCTTAACAAGTTCTACTCTCCAATGCTTGTCCTGGGTCTTTGCGAACCAGATGCCGCCAAAATCATCTGCCTCGTCTGTCCTTCTCTCGTGGCCTATCCCGACGCTATGGCTACCACGGTAGCTATATTTAACAGGCGCCGTCCACACGTATCCGGATATTTTCGAAAACGGAGATTTTTTTCGCCGTTTTAGCTTTCAGTCCACAAGTATACGGTTTTTTTCAGGCACCCCAAACCGCAGGTTTTCTAAAACGGTCCCCAGATTGAAGTTATTTATTAAAAAACGCCGGCTTATCGTTTTCTCTAAGTGGACGGACGAAAACGGATGTTTTTGAATACGATGATATCATACATCATACAGCGCATTTGTTACAAAGAGACAGCAATTCAAAAGCTCGCGCAATTTGATTGAGCAGACACGATGATCGAAGGGCTGAAAATAGCGCATAAACGTTGACCAAAAAGCCTAGTTGGCGCGTGAGAGCCTGCGAATTTTGAGGCCACTGCGCAAAAAGATAATTCTCGGAAACAAATGAACTTTAATGATAACGAACTGATCTCGGACTATAGATGCAATTAGTGCCGGAGAAAATTCGACGAACCATTAAAGCAAGAAGGTTAACAGAATTCGAAACAACTGATAAAGAATTCCAAGAACTGATGACAGAACATGACCGTTTTATGAAAGCGGAAGAAAATTTGCCACTATACCCAAACCCGCGTTACCGAGGGCGCCGGCAAGCATAAAAGCGGAGAAAGGTAGACAGGAGCGCATGCGAGAAATTGTATGAGAGAGGAAGTGGATAATGACACAGACGAAATTATAGTTCGCCAGATTTGTTGCTCTAATAAATTAATACATTTAAAATTTTCATATTAAGCAGGGAAGAATTGCTTGTAAAGTTCATAAACTATACTTGTAGCAGTGCATATTTGTTTAGTAGTGCTGGCTTATCACTATTGCGCGCTCCACAGATATCTCAAGGGGACAATATTTTTCTTGCTTTCTTCACAGACTCTCCCACGGCTTTATAGTGGGAAGCATGGACTGTTAAAGCGGGGTACTGGAAATGAACGAGAAGCGGTGCGAACGGGGGATGACGAGAACAAGCACAAAGCACAAAGTCGTAACTTTCCTTGATAATTAACTCAAATATCCTCAATAAAAGTGATCGCAAAATAAGATATTTTATGTCACTGACCGCTGTCTGAGCATTCCTGATCCTCACGAAATTCTCTTCCAAAGATTGTTAAAATACAGCAAAGTGACCCACCAAGTCGGATCACGCATGACACAAATTCGGTCCACATTTAAATTTCATTTCAAATTTTTATTAGAAAAAATTATGGCAAGGTAGCCATTGCAAACTTTCCGGCCCTTTCAGCCTCCTGCCAATGTCCCGTTGAATGGAATAACGTCATTCATGGCGGCTTGCTTTGCTGAATTTTTGCAATCTATGTAAAATAATTTTATTAAGATCAGATTAATTTTGAAGGCTTATAGAACGGTCAGTTACTTCTTTATTATTATTTGTGATTAGAAAAACAATGTCTTTTCAAGAGTGACTTGGTCATTTAACAAGGAAGTGCCAACACAACGAAACGGTTAACTATGAAGTAATATCTCACGTCAAGATTTGATGTGAAATGTCAATTTTTCATTTACAATGTAATATTACAGATCAAGGTATAATACAAAATTTACAATATATAGTTTGTGAATAGCTCAACAGGTCTGCACACAAGATAGCATAAACCATTATTTCATACGAAATCCATTAAACACCACAATCTTAAACGACCTACATTATAACAGTTTCGTTCCAGGAAGTTACATTTCTGGGGACATAACACAACCTGAAATGAACAAGAAGTCTAAAAAGATACCATCGCAGCAAACATTGCACATAATTGAATTAAGTTCGAGCAATTTTTTAAGTGAATACTGCAACGTTAACATTGCAAAACAAGTTTACTTCAGGTAGTGCTATACTAGACAATGCTCTATGCAGCCTGTCTCATTATACATGTAGCACAACAGTATTGCAAGACAAGTTGCAAAAAGCTACCTTTAATAATGTAGATGCTTTGCCCCATCTTAATATGCTCCTGCTCGGTGTGCATTATATTTAACAATTATTCCTCGAGCCCGAATGGCCTCTGAGTCAATAGCCCATGAGACCAAAGGCAGAATGGGCTATTGACTCAGAGGCCGAAACAAAACAAATTTAGCTAGCAAAACGTGATTCATCCGCCATTGTTTTGGTTTTCAAAGCCGGCGCTTTTCACTACTAGTAGGCTATAACATATAGCCTAATGGTAGCTCAACCAATCAGAACACAGCATTGATAATAGACCACTAGTTGGATTTTACTAAATGATGATACACAATATCTTCTACATTCTTCTTTTTTGTATTCTTCTGACGATGTCATGCACTCCCTGTTTTTTGCAGGATAGTGAGATCTCCGGAAATGATGCAACTGAGGGTCTTTTGGTAGTACTGCCTAATTTCAAATCATGGGGGGCTGGGTATGAGTCCTTATGGGATTACGAACATAAGTCTGTCATAGTTGGAAAGTGCATACCAAGCTTTACAAAATCTTCATGTTTAGGGATAATCAGGCTTATATTGAACAAGATACAGCTATTCAAATACTTGAAAATTTACTTAGTAGAGATGTATGGATTGCTGGACACATTGCCCAGACTTCTACATGTTTCACTAGTAAATTTTGGAGTTTTTGAATGCCTGTAACTCGTTTAATATAAGCCAAATAGCAAATCAAACTTGAGGAATTTGTAAACAGCGGTTTCCTCTTTCTGGCTATGAGGCTCTTGTCTTGTCCTATGTGGACCTCCTCAGTTTGTAATAGGCAATAACACAGCCTTTTAATGATAGTTATTCCGGTCCCATAATAAGAACAGTCATCATGAGTTTCCTAGGCTATATTAATGTGACAATTTGTTAGCTACTGTCACCATACCAAATTCTTAACGTCATCTTTGTAGACACTGGGAACCAAACCTAAAGAAGAATTTTAAAAAAACAGTTTACTACTTAACAGTCTTGACTAATTATTTTTGGCATGAACTAAATTAAAGTGGGTAACCCATCAATCTTAGAACAGAGTAATCCCGAGACAGAAGTAGAACACTTGACAATTCTTGGCTTCCAAAACTCTCAGTGGATACCAAAAATTAGTATCCACAAACTTCAAAATGCAGCACACAGTGATTTTCATGAAACGATGACCCCTCAAAAGTTAAATTAAGATCAACATCTAAAACAAATGAGAAATGCTTCTTTAGTTCTTGAAAACTAAGGCTGAATCCTGATTAGATTAATTTTTGACTTATATTGAATGTATTAAAGACTAATTGCTTTTGAGACTTCAGTGTAATATATATTTTCTATACCTACATTTGCTTTCATTTTTATTCACATTATACTTTAGTATATATTAAATATAATTTATTAGTCAATCCATGAGGAATGTAGAGATATTCTCTGGAAAAGTGATCAATAAAACGTTATTATTATTGTTGCTAATACTTTTAGAAAAAGGTGTTAAATCTCGTTTTCATAGCGAATAAGCGTCCCTCATTTTACTTTTTACTGTTAGCAGTTAAGTTATTATCAGAGAAGTATACATAAAACTAGTTTATACACTATAGGTTGGTATATACCCACCAATTTTAGATTCCACCATATTGACTGTGTTCTTATGGAAGAGCTTCTTTTCAAACTCCACTAAGTCTTTCCAAAAACCAGAGTTTGGTCGAATAAGAGGCCTTCTTTCCTTGACATATGAGTGAGCATCAATAAGGTTCATCCTTTGATACTTCATAAGGTATGCCAACACTAAAGTTGCTGATCTAAAGCAGAAAAGGAACAGAAAATTTTCAACAAAAATATAATATTTTAATTTACATGTATTTGCTGAGACTAGGGATCAAAGCCTTTCTAAATAAAGCTGCCAGTCCTATCTCAATCAAAGCATGTAGTTCCAGTAACTTGAGATGGGAGAACAACATCTTTGCTTGGGTACAACCCAATAAACAGTACAAAGAATCCTCTGAGATACTCCAACCTGTGATCGGTGGGGCTTTGGGTGGTCTGTCTCTGCTTTGCTGTACCATTGTTAACTTGAGATGGGAGAACAACATCTTTGCTTGGGTACAACCCAATAAACAGTACAAAGAATCCTCTGAGATACTCCAACCTGTGATCGGTGGGGCTTTGGGTGGTCTGTCTCTGCTTTGCTGTACCATTGACTGACAGAATTTCTTGCCAATTTGGCAAGGCACTGCACTGTGCAGTACTATATATATCATCTGTAGTGCAGCAACACTTTTCAAGGAATAAGCAACATAATTTGAGCTTTTAGGGACTTCTTATTAATACTGGGTGTGAGTTAAAGTGAACTTGTGTACCATTTGCCTCACTTCGCCTACAATTTTACTCTCTAAGAGTCCAGATGCCATCACTAAGCTGCATTAGTTCTGCCTAAAAATAATAACTATTTCTGTATAAGGAAATAACTACCAACCAAAAAAAATGCCTGACAGCCATGGAGTCAGTAAACAAGTATCTTCAGTTCATAATAGCCACCCTTCACATGAAGGAATTTGAGGAAGAGTATTTTTCTTCGTATCCTGTTTCTACTCCAAAGGTTTGGTGTGCCATTAATGTAAATAATCGGTTTTTCATTCACATCAACCGAGTGCATCAAGTTTACTTGTGAGACAGAAAAAAAGTAACAATTATCCCCTTTCTTAATTCACACTCTCATTCCTTGGCTGAAATCAGGTTTCTCAAGTGTCCAGGAAACCAACACACAGATCAATATTTGCATTTCAGTTTGCATCATCTTTTGCAAGACAAGTACAGCCATTACAAAAGCACTTTTCCATCAAGCAAAGTGTATTGTGTCTGATCCTAATGCGATCAAGCAAGAACTGTCACACATCTCACCTGGACCAGGTTGTTCAAAGCAGGGTTAAGATAACCCAGGGTTAGTGCAAAATTTGAATTCAGTTATGAAAGCTAAAAAAGCAAATTCAGTTTTATTCTTTTTGCCTGCAATTTGATGATTGGATACTCTAAAAAGAATAGAGAAACTTATCCGGCAAAATGCTTTTGAACAAAAGAAAAAGAAACCCAGTTTAAATTTAACCCTGGGTTAGCACTGATCGGCCTTTGAACAACTGGGCCCTGAAGACCTCCATAAGATATGGGTCTACCCCTGAAGAATTTCGTGGAAAGATAATTTGTTCCCTGTTCACCCCTGAAGATTTTGTTGTAAATTAAAGCTTCAGCCCTAAGGAATTTCGTATTTTTTCCCCCTACCCCTAAAGAAATCCTCCATTCACTCCCCTGAAGAATTTCACTGGTCCTCAACCGAAGGGGGAGGGGATGCGGGTGTTAACTGCATTAGCCCAACAAAAATGAATGCCTGCAGGTATTAAAAGCAGGAAGTCCAAAATGTTAAGAACAGCTAATGAATATTGTACTTCCTTGGTTACCAGATTTGCAATTCATTGTTTTAAGAAACGAGTTTTTATACATTAAAAATTAAAATCCCTGCTGTAGAGTTCACCTGCTAATTCCTGCGATACAATGAACAAACACCTTCCCTCGCTCCCTTCGCACTTTATCTACAAAGCAACAGAAGATAAAATACTATAAAATTAAAGATTTCTAACTACATAGTCATATGAAAATAATACGCTAAAAATTCATAATAGTCGCAATTACATGTACGCTTACCGATTTTAGCCAGTGTTTAACGGTAAAAGCGGGTAATGCACAGCTGTCTGCATGCTATTAAAGTCGCTCACCTATTTTGTCGGCCACTAGATCAAAGTGTATTCCTATGTTGCAGCTCGGNCATATGAAAATAATACGCTAAAAATTCATAATAGTCGCAATTACATGTACGCTTACCGATTTTAGCCAGTGTTTAACGGTAAAAGCGGGTAATGCACAGCTGTCTGCATGCTATTAAAGTCGCTCACCTATTTTGTCGGCCACTAGATCAAAGTGTATTCCTATGTTGCAGCTCGGAGTGTCCTCCAGTCTTATTCTTGTGGCTTTAATAGATTCGTAGTTTATATCTGGAGCCTCGACCGAAGCTTTCCGGATAACAAAATTTAAAAAAGAAAGAAACGATCACTGAGGAGTTTAATGCCGACTTAAGATTAAGTTTAATAAGCACAAAACAAAAATCAGGAGTCCTGATATGGGACATCCCACGAAAATCAACCTCAAAACAAATGGCATGATTTGGTGCCGAATAAACTCGTTTTAGAAAAGAAAAATAATTACAAGCTTACCATTAATGACACAAGTGATTCCCTTTGTTGTGAGAACATCTTCCATCTTCGCTGCTGCCAGTCCTCCTAGATAGAGAAATTCAGTGATTTCGGCCATTTTTCCGAGAGGACTGCAGTGCTTGATCATGGCTTCGCAATTCCTTTCCCTACTGTAACAAGCAGACGAGATCTTGCCAAAGCAATTTTTATACTACTATTTTGAAAAACCTCGATGTTGTTGATGAAAACGACACTGAAAGCCCTAAGAACGTCTGCGTGGGAGGCTGAAGTATTTCCGCGACCGGCCAATATTTGTCAGGACATGCAATCAGACCGTGAGAGTCTGGACTCTGGAGAAGGTCAGGGGGTGTTCCCCGGTTAGTTCGCGGGTGGGGTGGGTGGGCACTCAAGGTAGATGTGTGCCGCCGAGGCTTTTAAGTCTCCAGGATACGGCACCGATCTCCCGCTCTCCCTTACGGGTCACCACATCTCCCGGATAAAATCATCTTTCGAGCTTTCCTGTGCCTTTATAGTTTGGGATTTAGCCCATTTTAAGCTCAAAACTTGAATTTTTCTTATTCGCAGTACGGTTTCTGGGGCATTTTTGCACGTATTCAGTAACTGGCAAAGATTATTTCTGGTATCAAAACGATGATTGCGGATTTTGATAGAATGTATTTCATGTAAATTCAATTTTTGAAGACTTCATATAATGTCCTAAGTCACTCCCATTGGGGGCAGGGTCAATTTGTCGAAGAGGGGGGCGGGGGTCCTTTGAAACTACGAAGAGGTGCAGGGAGGGGGCTAAAAAAATTAAAGAGAGTATTATCGGCATTAGATTTTAGATCTCGGGTGGTTGGCATCTCTGTGACCCTGTGTAAAACAAAAATTGTTCATTTCGCTATCCTGCTTAACACGAAAAACCTGTCGGGGACTCAGATTTTTTCTTTGTCCCACGCTCGTGATCATCGTAACCGTTTCCATTTTCGCGGGAAAAATTACAAGTGCTCTAAAATGTACCTTATTATAGGAAACTAACGCGAATCGTTAAAATTCGCGTTAATTTAAGTCGCGTTATTAATTTTGTTGAGCGTTAATTTCCGCGACGTTAATTAAGTGCAGCGTTAATTTCCAGTATTTTAACCCCAATTTGGGAACCTGTCCAGACATTCTTGATACCTAAAAAACATTAACTACAAGCTTTCTTTCTCTCCATTTACCCTTT